CTCACCGAACATGAGCCGTTTAGTTGTGCGTTACAAACAACGGCGATTCAATCGCACGACTAAATCGCAAATGTGTATAGGATTATCGAATTAATTAACAAAAACTGTCATTTATCACAAGATTTTTTTTTAATATTTATGCACGAGCCCCATAAACACAAGTACTTACTTAGTTATTACGATCACACCAGAATATAATAAATATCTGATATCGAAAACCGTTTTAGTAATGGAAAACTATAACATACGGCTGAAACTTTTCTTAATTTATAAATGGTCGATGTCATGCGATTGTTATTTAGTGGTGGACGTCGAGTATATCGATAAATTTGTACAAGAACGCTCAAACCACACGAAAGTTGAAATGAACAATATTAATTAGTACTTACATATTATTGTGAAATCTTTAATCGCTACCTAAAGGAATAATTTACGGATTGGTTCAATTCTATCGCCTATCATTTGTACTTGTACTAATGCAGTGTTCATATTTCATGAAAGTGATCGAGTAATTCAATTTATAATTATGATGGACATTTGATCTTCTTTAATGAACTGTTCGTTATAAAAACAAAAATATCACTGACGATATGAAAATTGGCTAAGCATTGATGTTTACTTCTTTAGCACCGCAGAAAAATTTATCTTCACCTATTTAAAACATAATTGGCCTTTAGAAGACTGGCCGCAATAAGTATAAGGTAAAAGATTCACGCTTAACCGTTAGCATCATAAGTACCCATCACGCCATATCGATATTATTCCGTTTCGAGGTTCAAAACAACACATTAAGCAGTAAAATAACACAAGTAACGTTAAGTATTTAGTAATTTTCATTTAAATAAAGGAAACGCGTTTTCGCTACCGTTTAGTCAATGTGTGGCAAAATATTTGTGTAACAAATATTTGTGACACAATACGTTTGTTGACAAAATATTTTTGTAACAAATATTTTGACTCAACTGAAACTTATTTTCCATAGCGTAAAGTTTCTAAACTTTTTCAGGTCATCAGTTGTAAATCTCAATCAATACAATTGGGGGTCTTAATTGACAGGAATATGATGATTTAACTGCAGTGAGCATTGTTAACCGTTTCCATTAACTGTTTAACAAGCGATTAAACCATTCAAAGGGTAAACTAATTTATTGTCGAAGACATTAGGAGGCGCCAACGACCCACCGTTACAATGTTTGCTAGCCGAGTAATTAAAAAAATACACCAAAAAATAGTGAATATGCGGTCATCGGCGCACCGAGAGACATCTGTTAGCACATAACTATAATAGGGATAAAAATCTTGCTGCGGGTATGATCATGTCAAATTTTGCATTGTGATGTGCACTTTTAGGCGGTGTGGTAGCGATAACAAATCAGAGGAGCAAGTCGGAGGAGGTGATTTACACGAAACATAAAGCTCATTCAATTTGCAAGAAATATCGATAACATTATCGATACAAGCGATGTCCGTTGCACTTACACGCAAGTAATAGCGCGACCTGTAATACTCAGCTCTGCACACATTTTATTGCAGCATCCGATTGCGAGATTTTGTCAATATATTCATTTATATGTGAATTTCAGTCTTAAACATTGCAACACTGATCGGCAGAGAAATAACTTTAAAGTTAAGCGCTAACTGATGTCTAGACACAACATTACAACAGTTTGGTCCGGTCGCGGAGCAGGAATAATTTCGGGCGTTAACCTATAATTGCCTGTCCCTGTTGCTCCCGCGCAGATATATTGCCGTCACGCTCGCACAGATGCAATGGCCTGCTAAGGGAGCGTGACGAAAATATACTTGGGCGGGAGCATCAGAGACAGGCAATAACATGTACGAAATTCGCGCTCGCGACTGGACTTTTTCGTATACTTCGTTGTTTCACACATCGGACATCTTTCGGGTATCAAACAGTCATAACCCCTCAGTACGTACAAATTAAATTCCCTAAGACAATTTGATATATCTAGTTTCTTTTTTTAACAAAAATCTAGCTCTCTAATTAGGGCACGTGATTGATTCAATATAGCAGAACTTTACACGATAAACGTAACCAATCATAAATCAGCCAGGACGTTACAAACTAGGCCCCAGAAACAGTATTTCGCAAAAACGTAAAAAGCTCAAATGATTGATATAAAAGTGTGACAGATGTCTGGTTTTGTTCACCGTGCGACAATATGAAATAAGGAAAAAACATCCCTACAGTTACGTAAACGCACATTTGGTTTATAAATCGTGTCGAATGCGCATTAACTGTTAAACTGGCATTAGTAACATTTTCAATACATATTCATAGTGTTGTTTTTATCTGTATAAATACTGCTTATTTAAATATTTAAGTAAACTTTTTGTAATGCGATATATTACAATCATAAGTATTATCAGTATACTAAACTTCAAGAAGTCACTCAGTATTGTAATTGCAAACCCAGAGATGTCAATTAGATAAGAACTCAATACGTGAAAATAATTCATAAAATGTTGGTTAACTGCTAATTGAAGTCTCCGAGTACCTTAGGTTTTAATTATCACTAAATCGATACATATAAACTAAATAGGTGTTTCCAAGGTTTAGGGTATTTTTTATTAATAACTAAAACAATTATTTTCATTTTTAAAAAAAACAGGATAACAATATTAAGCTGATCAAAGCAACAACTTATAGTTAAATATATTTCTAAACATTACAACCATTTACACATTACAATAAAGGTTTCTCTTTTTTTGGGTTTAAGTTTATACAGTTTTTTTTTTAGTTTCGCTTTACATTCTAGTTTTCTCTACATAATGTCATTCACTTTACATCTTACATCCGAAGATGATGCCTGGGGGCGAGGTTACAAAATTTATGCGATAAATTTATATAAGCAAAATTAACATAAATCAAAAGCTCTGCTATGTTGAAGTTTTCAGTGGCTTAGAATTGCCACCCATTCGACCAAAGGTCGCTATGCCAAAAATACTTTTTCACTAACCAATTTGTTTACATTATATAACTATGCTTTGAGTGATACTTCACTAGAAAACATCTAGATATCTAAATTTTGTATCCGTACACGTATGACAACATGTTTAAGATAACTATTGGTTTTTTTATTATTGTGATTTGTGATAATACATCACCCTGTACAATCCAGTGATTATGCACAAAGAATAAAATTAAAATGAGACTTTCAATTACAATACAGCTTTGCTTAAACTTAATAAAATCACACCAATGTTTGAGTTTAAATGTCCACAAACATTGAAATAATCAACACCTAAACAATATATGTGTTGCCATATATTTTAACTATAAACAAAACACAAAAAACAACATTTTTCTCACGCCTGTTACAATGTATTCATGTAAAAGAAATATTGCAGATATGTACTTCTTATCCGCTAGGAAATCATTTAACTTGTTATTCATTCAGGCATGCCTCGCAACGGGATTAACTTGAAAATGAAAATTGTGAACTGAAATATGGATTATCTTGTAAATCTTACGACCTCGGTAGCTCATAATGAATACTCAATTGGCGTTAAATTCAGAGTGAAACCGCAAAAACCTTATCAAGTATTTAATAGAACAAAAATCTTAATCAATATCTTAACCCGTGTATATAGTGTGATTAAGGTTTTATATTAGATGGCAATAATATGGACGGTGTATATGTCATGAAATACAAGTATTATTTGGCATAGGTGACGACAAGTTATAAATTAGTTACCTTCTTTATTTGTGACTAATAAGATTTTAAGCTCTTACATCTTTAAACATAACGGGTAGACGGTAGCAAATGCTTGGAGTCTTCGCCGATCGTATTTCCTAAGCCTGACGGGCTTCACGCTCTACACCGAACACAAGAGTGGAACACTCACAGATCTAATCTCTCTCTAGACTATCACTCAGTACCAGAAATAATATTATGTACCAGTTGCGAAACACGCTCTGAACCGAAAACTAATCGAAATTCGTGAAGCCGCGATAAGTCAAAACTGATCAAAGTGCAGTGCATCAATTGGCTGAAACTTTACATTAACTGGCCGTACATTCGGCCATTCAATGTACAATTTGTTTCGATGTTTTGTGCCCGATCTGGAGCACCAAAAATCAGTGCCAATTATGTCTGGATAATATAGGACACGAAAATGAACCAAGACATTCCGAAAACTCTAAGCGTGCTAGTTCTGGAAACTTCTATTTAACTAAACATGTTTGCTTATTACATGCATTCGTAGTTTATTCATATTAATTCGGAACTTTGTCTCATAATGGTTACATTTGACAGTAAAGCTGACACGCAGCGAAAGAAGAGTCACAGAAATTACCTTTAGGCAACAGGGGTGTCCAATAAATCAATTGTCACGTTAATCAGGTTTAGCCGAACTCTCGAGGTATTTTAAAACCGAAATGATTAGATTATCGAACATAACAGCATATGTTTAGAACCCTAAATTTGCCATTTTATACCTATCGTTGACTGGGGGATATTGAATTCGCGACAAGGAAAATATTGAACACCCTTGATACACAAGACTCTTTTACGCTCAAAGCGTATATCATTTTAAGCGCAAGTGAATCACGCAGGTCAACGTAACGTAACCGAAACAATATTGGCACTGACACACAAGGATACAATGCAACCACTGAACGCACACGCAAATACAACCCGTGGACGGTCGGGCTAAGGCCGATATTCGCGTGCGAACCAAAAACTCGTCTACGTACCGCGGGGGCCGCAGAACGCCTGGGTGCGGGCCGTTGGCAGTGATGCTGGCTTGCTTTACACGATGTTCACGCACGAACCACTCGCGGTCCCACTTTGGGCACAACACTGGCTTGCCGTCACACATTCCGAGGCACACTTACACTTAGCGGGTAAACTATTGCTAACGCGACATCTGTGGACGCACGCACACGGCGGCGGTCGCCTGGGCGCGTACGGCGCGTAACGGCGCACTAGTCCGGGGTCGGGCGGCCGCCGTGGCCCCAACGCGGCGGGGTGCTAGCAACGCTGGCTGATGTAGTCCCCGTAGGTGGCGGAGACCTCCTCCGACTGGTAGCGGGTGAGCTTGATGCTGCGCCGCAGGTCCGCCGTTATGGCGGCCTTGTAGCCGCCCTTCCGCAGGAGCGAATCGATCGTCTGTATTTGGTCCCATCCTGGAAAAGTTAAGGGAGGCCTCTGCTTTCACAACTATGACGGTGGGGTAACGTAATGGATACAAATATAAAAGTAGAGTAACAGCCTATATGTCTCACTGCTGTGCAAAGGCTCTGTTTGCAGACGGTGACTGGGCATAGTCATCCACGCAACCCCATTGTGGATTGGTGGACTTCACGAATGTTCAAAATTCAGATGTTAACGCTTTCAGTCCCGAGACTATTAAAGTTTCATCGAACGTAGAACCAGTGGTCTAGCCAGAACCACGGGTTTGAGGTTTTTTTGTTGTTTTCCTTACCGTCAGAGCACGTGACAAGCCTGCACTTGAAATAAACAAGTTTATAGGTGCTGGAACCGTGATTTGATATCACGATATATCGAGTACATAGAATGAAAATCAAACGCCAGTACACAAGCAACGGAACTCCACTGGAAATGATTTTGTAACTGCTCCCACAAACGAATGTATCCAATCACACGCTGTATTTTTCGCATATTATACAGCGTGTGGTCGGATTACATTAATAAGGGCAAGTAACCGCCAAATTAGTTTATAACTTAAGATCTAAAAATTGTTGCTTTCTTTTAACTGTATCAAAACTTCTATTCTCTCATATCTCATTCCCAAAATTGGATACGACTTATTCTAAAATGTCTCATTGCAGAAAAAGTCCCCGTAGGTTAAAAAAGAAATCACACTATTTATAAAGATTTTATCAACTGAATTTTTAAATCCACTATGTTCGAATAATTCACGGGCATGGTCCCTATTCAATTTAACAATGCATATTATTTGAATATATATAATAAATTAGTTCAAATTCTAGGCGTGACGTGCGCTTTTTTATGTTCCCCAACAGCAGAGTGAACTCTCGGGTGCGTTTCGCACAACGAACGACAACTGACCTTGCTCAGTGGCGACTTGAGGTAAGTAGGTTGCTGTACGTTTGGTGCCGCGCTCGTTGATGAACTCTATGCGGATGCCGTGCTTGCCCAGCTTCCAGTCGAGGTAGTGCTCCGCCTCCTCAAAGTGCTGCAGGATTGACACGGAGACGGTCAGACGCGGCACCTCCTCCCGCGTTATGGGCGTGAAACGCGAATCCTTCAGGGCGCTGGTTATCGCGTACTCGCGCAGGCCTGCGGATTGGTTGGCCTCTTTTGTAGGAACGGTTCGCGACGTTTTTTTGAAAAAGTTGGGCAAACGGTGCGCCGATAGTGAGTGGTCACCGGCCACCACACCTGAACTTTCGCAACGGCAGAGATTTTTCATTGGTGATATAAAGCGAGGGTTTAAATACAGAAGTGTTTGTACCGCGTCGAGTGATGGGTCTCCACTACCCCACTCAGCCGGCTCGTTCTTAGAGCAACGGGATCGGCTATTTGACTCTGCCGCAAAAAATACATATAACAACTATAATATATTATACAATATGCAAGTTTCGATGGCGCCAGGCTTATCTAGCAAAGATTTAGGCGACTGTTATACTATAATGGATATCACCCTGAGTAATTTATTTATGTGAAACGCACAAAAGATAATCTAATTATAAATGAGGTTTACTTTTTATAGACAATGCAAAAGTTACTAGAGATTGAGGTTTCAGTTGAGTAACTCGGACCCAGAAGACGTTTTTCTGCCTTTAATAGCGTGTAGCTGTTCCCGGCATTAGCTTGTATCATTGCCTCAACGAAAACTACATGTCGTATGAATATGACGTCAATCTGTCAGAACTCGAACGTTAATCGCCAGAAACAACCATTATATACCAACATATAAATCTTCATGATTTATTCCAATATTAGGCGAGAAGTGAATTCGGTGCATAAATTTTAACCATCCTTTGCACGACGCTTAAACAAAGTCAAAGTTGTATGTAGCTAATGTTTTCTTTTCTGCCCGCCTTTTTGCGTTGTGTTAAGCCATTTACAAACGCAAAGCAAGAATGACAAGTTGGCATTGTGTTTAAAATGCCTTTGGTTTTCAAATATCGTTGGGGTCACACGTAACCTTTCATTACGTTCAATTTAATTATCATTAAATAACCATTGTTATGTAAACGAAATGACATTTGTATCAGTCATGGGCAAGCAATAGCAACTAGGAGAATTATATTACATCGGTAAAGGTGATTACTCTCATCACAGTTTTTAGAAAGTTCAGACTTATCTACCTACAAGCGACCCGCCCCGGCTTCGCATGGGTGCAATGTATTATACATATAAATCTTCCTATTGTATCTAGTAAAAAAAACACATCAAGATCCGTAGTGTAGTTTTAAAGATCTAAGCGCAAATAGGGACAGACAGACAACGGGACGACTTTATTAAATTATACTATGTAGTGATACTATTAATACAAACGGTCAAATGAAAGTTAACAGTTTTGCTGCCAAACGTACATACATGGGTTTGGATTTATTAGACTTGTGCAATTTTTTATTAATAGCAAAAATAAACAATGTAGATATCAAAATAGTAATCATACATGACTAAGTGCGAACTTATTAATAAGATCTTATTGCGTTATATTTATTTGGTTTTAAACTTACATTGTTATTCGCACTGCTTCGCTTGAAAAAAAAGGTAAGAGACGCAATTTTTCGTTAAGAAATAGACTATTTATTACTCATAACCGATATTAAACAAAAAGTATATTAAAAAGTAATTAATGTTAAATTGTGAAATTACATATTTTATTGCGGTAATTTTACGAGTAATATATATATATATTTTTAATAGCGGCATTATTTTGTATTGTTATATAACGATATAATATATGTATATGTAAACGATACCAAGACTTTGTTGAAATACATTTTTATCGTATTATTATACTGTTAGCATAATTATTTTGTGATAATTTTTAGTCTTACCTAAAAAACTTTTGGCTAAACGCAATTTAAATAGCTTATTGGTTAGCAATAAAATTATTAAAACTTTCGTGAGACATTATTAATGTAATATTAAGACGGCTGAACTCACGTAAGCCCGGTGTATGTACTCATCAGTCGGTACATACACTGTGTTTACGTGAGTTCAGCCGTCTTAATATTACAGCTCATTGGTGTTTCAGTGTCATAATATAATAAGAATCCTATTATTTATGTCAGTGACGCCTAATGTCTTGAAAGTCTTACATGCCTATTCTATCTTAAGATGAACCAATGAATACCCTTTAAACGGTTATGACATAATAATTCGCCATTAGCATATGACATCATCCACTTACCATAAGTGCCGTATTATTTAAGAACATTTACAAAACATTTTCTCGAAACTTAATAGGGGCTTATTATAAAGTTTCAAATAAGAATCTATACGTACAGTCGAACCTGGAATAATTCTTTTGACTGTATTTGAAAACCTGATTTCAATTCCGTTTTATGCACCCGTTCACATTAGTGAAAATTGTTTTGAAGAGATACGTCATTCTGCACTAGAACGAATCTTATGCAAAACATCACGATCAAAATTCTCCGAAATTTCGAGTAGGACTCTCTCGACCTAAATAATTCAAATCGATTCTCTTTCCAGTTTTCTCTTCCCCAGTTCAATACTGCCTTACCTTTGCAGTTTCTCGAATTACTAATAAATACGAACGGGAATCATCTTTTAACATCGCTCCTTCAATTTTTTTTAATTTGACATTTACCTCCACGAATCGGATAAATCGAATATTTTACGATTGAAATTACACCAGACAAAATATCTAGTTGATTATTTTTAATATCATCATCAGGGCATCGTAAATTTAATCCATTATTACAATTTTTTGTACGATTAGCGATATTCGAAATAGGATTTGCAGTTTCGTTGCCAACATTTGTAATATTTGTTAAAAATATACTTGTTGCTAGAATTCAAACATACTTCTTTATAGCTTCTTTTGGATTTGCACCGGAACTGTAGATGGCGAATGAACACATTTGAGTGACTCTGTCTCTTCTATGACAATTTGATTTACCATCTTTATCAGACAAGTAATCTTAATTTAAATATACAATAAACATTTTTTGTTACTTTTTCGCGTAGTGAACGACACTGACTAGTGAACGGTGGAGCAAACGTATCACCCAGTGCAAATGACAACCCAAGTTAATAAGAAAGCACCACTACCGGAGTGGATCGGAAAGACTGAAGCTTGGCTGACGATGGATTCCGGATATTGATACAAATATTACAACAAAAAACTAGTGATAAAAATATAAATATACTATAGATGCTATGCATTAAGTCTTACAAAAATAAATTGTACTAATATTTACTTAAACCATTAATTTCCTGTGCGTTTTCTTTTACACCTGTGTGTTAAATAGACTTACAGAAAGGTATCTTCATTGTCGTCTATTGAAAAATGGAAATCAATATAAATTTTCAGTAAATTTCCAACAATGTTTATGTTCGAATTTCGAGCACTAGCAATGTTAAATCAATGTCCACTACAATTTTGGGTGAGGACTTTCTTTTTTACATTTTATAACTATCTACTAACCTAACCATGTATAAGATGAGGACGTATAAAACGAATCTTAAAGAGTAATCTACAGATGGTAATTAGCCCCGCAGTTCCTGTGTTTACGTACGTGTTGGCGGGCATTGAAGGTGGGGATCGTAGTTTAAAAAAAAATGATATCTTCGTTAGTCCGAAACGTTTCAAATCCTAACTTTCCAAAGTTAAGGGAGTAATGCAATGGAATATACACCGGCACGCCAGGTGGATTCGAAAACATTTATAGCTCTTTTAGGCATGAATTTGAAAGGCGCCTGACAAAAACGAACCAGTAACTCCAAGCAGTACAGTGTCCCGTGCTACTGCGCTATATCAAAACGTAGGTAGGTAGGAAGAAAGGGGGAAAATGTTGTTATGGATTGTCATCATTCACACATTGCCATGTTAAAGACAACTCACCCGAATGTAAATGCATAGCGTTAAATGTGCCGATGCACCCGCGCAGCCGGTGCTCCTTGCCTATTTTCCACGTCACGAACAGAGGACTGCAAATAAAATATTTTTTTTTACTGACAATAAATTAATCATTCATCGCGAGTACGAAATATCCGACAGGCGAAGGAGTGTAGTTTCTCTGTAAGTATATTTGTTTGCCTAATAATCTCGCCTAAAACTATTGATGGATTTCAACAAATGAGGTGTCATTAGATTCGTCTCTGCATAGGGGATATTATTTCAAATGTAAATGTAATAAAAAAATATGATTTTTTACGCGGACACATTGATAGAATATATGAGGTGTTAGTATTTTTATGACAATCGGGTTTGTTGTTTCATTTTGTAATTAATTTATTAAATCGTCAGTTCCCTTTTCTTATATAGCTGTAGATCCGGCGTAAAGAATAATTAGATATAGTTTATTTCCTCGATTTACGCGAATTATTACAGTGTCAACAAACTATGGTTAATAAACACATCTAATCGCGTTTAATTTGTTTATTTCGAGTTATTGTTCCGTCCCGTGAAGATGGATGAAGCAAGTGTTAAAAACAGAGAACTTACTGCAAACTGATACTTTATACATGCCGTAAAATAGTATAAATATATTTATTCAATTTGGTATAAATTAATAGCATATTTATACAAAATTCTACTACGACTACAACGAAACATTTCAACTTAATCTACAACGCTAATCAGAACTTTGGTTGGTTTCATAGACAGCTGATTTGGCTTCATTGCCAATACTTTTAACTTCCACCATCTTTTAGTTTCATAGGACCAACAACGTCAAAACTATTCAGTTTCACATAATATTCCTCCCCTGATTCATACATTAAAAAACCAGCATAGTCGTTTTGTATTATTGAGGGGGATATCATTTTTGTAATACACAGCCACAGTCTAGCGAGCCATTCCTATCTGTACTTTAGGTATGGTCACTATTATCTGCCGGAGGGGCGTTCTACCACGAACGAAATGAAAGTCTTACTTTCTCGTCTCTACTACAATCTCGCTAGGAAGCTCCTGAGGACGGGCTGCGATATAACCGCAGAATCTCATCAGAAGTTCCCGCCTCCGCGACTGCCATTTGTTCGAGCCGTGGGAAGTCAACGTCCCCGCATTCGCTCTTAATTTGGCAACACTCGAGCAGCCTGAACACAAACACCGCATAATTAAAATCATTAATAACGGTTTCATGTGCTGCAGCCAACCGTGAAATCGATGGGAAATGAGGAAACTAGAACGTCTGAGGTGCACAACTTTTAAGGCTTTGGCTTTTGTTGCGTTACAATCTAAAATTAACAAAGGCCATCACTGATTAACCACGGCGTATCTCAGTAAAGGTGATTTGGTCTCTTTTTAATTTCTAGTCATATAAATGTAGCGACCCGTAATATACTCGTAAAACGACACTTACCTTTTTCGTCAGCTGCTGTAGGTTAATTTAATAAAGTGATGCGATTCTCTTGGGAAGTGGGTAGGCGAAAGTAGTTTAAAGACGATCGAAGGGAACTCATTTGAAACATATTTTTTTGTATACAAAACCATAGCAAATATTTTCAACGAAACAATTATATAACAAAAACAACCTAATCTATCCAAAAATAATTTTTTAATAATTTTAAAATCTTCACTAAAATACGCCAGCAAATCACTTGCAATAAACGATAAAAGGTTTTACTTGATACCTCAATTTAATAGATTCTATATGTTTAACCTCTACATGTTAAATTAGACATAGTTATGTGAACATATAAAGACGTCAACGATTTGGTTCACAACTGGAAATCAGGGCCATAGCGTGAGTACGAGCACTTGACACGTCGATGTTTAAGTGATGCAACCCTGAAGATATTTCGATGGTTGGTACACTCAAGTGAGGCTGAAACGACGAAGTAAGAGGACGGCGCAGAAAGACCACCATACCCAAAAAGCATGCATACTTGGATAGAATCGTGTGTTCGTTACCTTTATTACTATGCATTCACGTGTAGGTCTTTTAAATTTTTGGATTTCTTCTATACAGATAAATAAAATTGGAGTGTCTGTTTGTGATATTAAAATAAGGACTGGACCTATTTTGACGGGACTCACTGGCAGATAGCTGATGTAAGAAGTAACTTAAGCTACTCATATTTTAGAAATTTTGTTTATTTTAAATTCCACGACGAAGTCGCGGGCACAGATAGTCTTACATATATATGTAGACTGAAATGTTTCGGTTGTTCTTAAATGCATAAAAGGCCTTTCCATGCTATTACATCTACACATAAATGCATGTCCGTTACGGCTTTTTAACATGAACCATTAAATTTTTTATTCACATTTGATTATCAAAACTTAAATTTTCATGGGTATTTTGTAATTTTTGTTTGGCAATAATACGCTCATGCACAAATTTGATGGTTGGTAAAAGGCTAATCAATGTTTTGAGAGGGAAAAAATACCACTATCATTTTAGAAAGCTGAAAGGTTTCCAAAGTGACAAAAGTCTTTGCGTAGTGTTTTCAGCGATTCACTCACTATATTTGTGAATATGAAGATTATCTTTAAAAGCCTAATCGCATAATACCGTGATCAATACCAAAATGCTTATATAATACTGTGTAAATAAGTGTTTTATTAATAAGAGGTCTTTTTTATATGAAGTCTACTTTTGACTATGACCTGCCCATAGCACTTGAGTGGTCCTACCCACGCAAGTGCTATGGGCAGGTCCGTCCGGGGAAGCACCACGACCTCACAGAAAACAGGCGTGAAGTGGAAGAGTTATACTTCTGCGTTTCTTGTGATGAGTGAGGTAACCAGAGCCTACTTTATTAAAAGGTGGCAACACATCTGCAAACCTACGGGTATTTCAAATGTTCTATGGGCGGCAGTTATCTTGTATCTTGTATTAACTGATGTTTTTGCTTTCAGTCCCGAGACTATTAAAGCTTCATCTGACGCAGAACCGGTGGGCTAGCCAGAACCCACGGGTTTGGGCCCTCCGCTGTCGGTAGGGCCGCGCATGTGCTCATGCGTGCGTTTAACTACGACATGTCATCAAAGGGCCATCGAAGTTGCGGTGCGGACCGAGACCCCGATGGCCGTCGACTGTTTTTAGCGCGGCAGTTATTGTAATGTCGAAGAATACATTAAGACAAGGTTGTGTGGAAATGACTCTTGCTCTGCACTTGAAAGGCCCTTGGTTAAAAAAATTTAAAAGAAAAAAGTTAAGACCGCAGAGTTTCTTGCCAGTTCTTACATCTCTGGACAGGTTTAGTTTAGTAAACCGGTGGTAGTTTTTTAACATTCAATAAGAGCTTCAAATAATCCAATATTAAATAAAGAAATTTTGACTATGACTGACTTTCTTTATCACTTAACATTATGTTCCCATCAACTCCAGCTTGCAAAAAAGTCCTTAGCTGTCTTTCAATTAAACAAACTAATGGCAATATCAAATATTCTTATATAAGTCTTATTTAAGAATACATTAACTAAATAGACAAGTAGAATAATCTACTTGTCTATTTTTGGTCAATAGTGAAAAACATAAGATTTTAAAATCATGTTTGAATTATTTTACAGTAGAACCTCTATAAGTCGAACATCAAGGGAGACGCCAAAAATAGCGAGTTATAGAGTTTTCGACTGATAGAGAATTAGGCAACTTGGGCGGATTATCATTTGACATACAGAGGTTGAGATTCATTCTTATGAAATTTGAGTTAGAGAGGTTTAAAAACTGTTGTACAAAGTGATGTGTATTGCAGTAGAACCAAACTACTTTTGACAATATTTAACTAGACAACAAATGACTTGCTTCGCTAAAGTTCAAATGAAATTAAAAATAATAAAATAAAACACCTGACACCAAGCAAGCAAACACGTGTTAACGTGTAAATTCGTGATAATTATTTTTATTGTATACTCCTAAATTGCTTTCTAACAAACAATGGTGTACATACAATGTCAGCAAATTCTTAAAGTTGGTAACTTATTTTTCTTTGAACTATAGAGATAATGAATCTCAAATAATCGAGTTGTAAAGGTTGTACAATAAAAAAATACTATATTTGAGATACACAGGTAAAATTAAATTTTTCCAGTTATGGAGGGAAAATATGTACCAAAATGGCTTGGAGGGACTCTCTGATTATTTCGACTAATAGAGGGTTGAGATTTCGAGTAATGGTGGTTTTGGTGTTGGAAGGGAAGGGAACAAAACATTTTTTCGAGATTGAGAGGTTCTCTACTTATCGAGATTCGACTTAACGAGTTTCTACTGTATTTGATGGACAGGTGGAAAATGTTGTTGTGAATTTTTTATCTCTGTATTGAATTGGTTTGTTGCATCTGATTTTCTATTTCACTTTATCTATATAGTATAGTAGTGTTTTCTGAAAAAAAAAATGACTACACAAATAATATATATTTTCATTACAAAACCATAGAGGTAATCATAGATTTTTGATGTACATGCATAGTTAAAATAATGTTAGCCTACTGGTACATCAAGACTTTATGGATGGTTGCTATATGACTTTGACCATGTGGAATTTATGTATGTGCAACCATACAAAATAAAGTGGTAATGTTTTTCAAGGGAAGACAACAATAGATTTTCTATGTTGCAGTGTTTGTTGAGAATTACAACCCAACCCTTTCCACACAAAAATACAAATATGACTCTATCCAAATACAAATAACCTTATCCAGTAACATTACCAAAAATATTGGTCTCCTAGATGCGTAGTAACCTTAAAACACATGTTATAATACTTTACATGATATTGACTCAACAAAATCTTTACAATTCAGCACAAATATTTTAGGTTTTAAATAACTTAACATCTAAATCTAGAATATATTTTTTATTAAATTACCTATTTGTTTTTTTTTTTTTTCACAATCAAAAATAATTTTTTTTTCCTTCCAAAATGTCAATTTATATGTGTCTACATCCATGTACCAATATATATGTGACAATTTAAGTTCAACCATATATCAAGTTTTAATTAATAATAAGAATAAATACTTCAAAATCTAAATTTTTCAGGACACATAATTGCAAGACATCTTTCAATATTTGTAAATGGGGACTTACAAGGTTATTACAAGAAATTTTTTCAGTATTAAACCTTGAAAATATGATAGAAAAATATAGATCTAAACATAGTTTTAAAGTAGTTTTTTCAATATAGTCTTCCAATTAAAAAAACACAAAACAACATCAGCTCACATTTGCCAGTGTATTGCATATGATCCTGTTGTGATTTAAATAAGCTATCATGATGGCAAATTTTAGGTTAGGTTATGTCAAGAGAAAATCATCTTTCCAAAGTTTGAAATACTGTACCTATTGTTATTTTTCTTCTATCAATCTTACATACTGTTCATTGTTAATCCTTTTTTGCAATTACTTGGTAATTTTCAAGACATATACTCAATAAATTGTTGTAAAGAACTACTCATATACAATAGAATATAAATTATTCAAGATGTGATATATAGCAGATGTATGTAATTCAATAAGTGTCAGATTTCGATAGTCAACTAAACAAAGATTTGATATGAACAATCAACTTTCCACATAAGCTTTGTTTCAAGCACCCTGTGAATATAATTATAATAGGCAGATTAATGTACCTAAAGCGAATATCATAATACATTGTTATAAAAAAACTAAGGGAAGGGGAAACGCATATAAATAGACCAGCTTTATTGAAAACAAAGAAAAACAAATTCAACCTAATCAACTCCTAACAAACTCATTGAAACAAGAGGAAAGGACAATTAATATCGCTAGTTACTTACAATGCCTCATTCGTGAAATTTGGCGTTTGTGGCGGGTCCATGCTATGCAGCTGACAATACAAAACATCGAAACAAAAGTAGCACATATCAGGAATCGCTACAGTCTCATGGTAACCATTTATGGGTCGTTCAACGTTATTACTAAAAGAGTTATTCAATTTCTGTTTTTTAGTTCCACAACATACTGAAGACATATTGGTTGGTATAAGACTAATAAAGTTATATTCTATTACTAAATACTAATATTAACAGACAACGCACTCAATGCAGTCACACAAATTCACAAGTAAACGAAATAAAACACACACACTTGAAGTTGAATATAACGGGACGGGGTTTCCTGCTACGTGTGTGACAGATGCATAAATAACGTAGATTCATTATTACATACATAGACGGAATTAAAGAAGGAATGTTATTTCATTAAATAGGTACAGATTATTATAACATATTATTAAATTGCTAAAGTTATAATAAGAAATACTCGTTAATTTATACCCATACAATGAATTAGTTTATTGCATTTAGCTTAGAAAAAACTTACAAGGAAATAATAGAGTAAAATATATTTGAATTTCTTTTTTTGCATGGAATAGAATCTAAAAGGAAGTACAATATTTAAAAAATCAGATTGACATAGACTGAGGCTGTACTTAAAATATCTCTTTATTACCTTAATTTAATGCTGAAACTTTATAACTTGTCTATGGTGCGATGGCTGTCATCCAGTTTTATTTTATTATTTTAGAAAATAAGGATATAAGCATTGAATGTAATTGAGAATGAAGCTATTTTCGTGAATAATGTACATGTTTTTTAAATTTCAAATAGATTTAAGTGCGGCAATCTCACACCGGTAAATAATAATATACAACGATGTTTTATAAAAGAGCATAATAATTGTCGACGATGGCGTCTGATGGTGAAATTTCATGTACGACTGATCCAAATTTCGCTGTTATTTACTCATTTTTTAAAGTTTTCGGGAAACTGTACGGATTGGAGATACCTACAATAGTTAAATTGCAAGAATTGATAGAGAATACACAAGAAGGTACAAAGACGACAACATAATATCGAGTGAAATATAAACAAACATCTAAGCAAGTTTTTTGTTCTAGTGTTGGATCCGTTAAAGGAGTTACATATTAGATTATTACGACGTGCGCTTAAGTCAATACAAGTTCACCGTTGGGAAAGGGCACTTATAAAGTTCTGTCACCAACAAAGATACCATCAAGAGGCATGGGAAATAGAACGATTTTCTTACAAGAAAGCTAGTACTCAGGTTAAATTGAGAATATTGAAGGTAATTTACGAACTTTATTATTGATTAGATGTCATGAAATAAATAAAAGAGGCAGGCTAGTTGCTAGTAATTTCTTTATCAGTAAAATCAAACATTACTAAAACTACCACTTGCCTAAGTCATGTTTATAATAATGTTAAACTCTTATATATATTGTACATATTATATATACACACACTGTAAAATCAATTATTTTTATATATTATTCTCATGTTTTTACAATATATTTATTGTTTCGATAATGTTTTTCTGTGGATAAATATAAAATATTTATTTATTATTGATAAATAACTTAAAGAAAAATACCTAATAATTTATTTATTAACACCATGTTATTAAATAATATAAATTAATATTTTTATTAATAATTTTCAGTTACTATTTGAATATCAATTCACATGCCATCCAAAGTTCAAAAATACAGTTAATGCTATATCAAGTAAAGAACTAAGGCTAGATCCTGTTGGAAGGGACAAAAATGGCTGTGTCTACTGGCTGCAGGTTGACCATGAAGCTAATTTGTGCTTATATAAAGAAGACCAAGATGAAGAAACTTGGCAATTAATTGCTAGGTAACAAATATTAATCCCAAAATCAATTATTTAATAAAAGAGATTTAAAGAGTACATGTTTATACATTTTTTTTTCTTTAAGAATGTTATTATCTCTCTTGTTATTGTCTAATATATTATTGTTAATATCTCTAATATTCATTCTGTAAATGCATTTGCTGTAGTAAAATGTCATTAAAATCATGTAAAATGTATCTATATTATTATTTACTATAATAGGCTCTTATTTCTGCTTTTTATACAACACAGGAGTGCATTTTGTATTGAATTGTGGAATAAAATGTTTGTGACATATATTTACATTAGTGTTATTGTTTTAAATGTTTCATAATATATAATTTAAAAAAAAAATACGTACATTACATCCACAGCAATCGAGATGAGTTTGTCAAAGTTATTGGTCAGTTAAAGAGTGGTGAGGAAATATCCCAACCAATAGGCAATGAGGATTCTAGCAGTGCAGATGTTCCACCACAAATGGAGGTATTGAAACTAAAGTTTGTCCATAAAATAAGTAAAGGTATCAATAAAGTAATTTAAACAATTTTTCAGCCTAGCAAATCATCAGGACCAGAAGATGACAATGAGGAGGAGTTTCTGAGCCCTGAATCTGAGTCTGGAAATGAAAGTGATGATCAAAAAACGGAAAAATGTACAGAAGATGCTAAGGAACCAGAAAATACTGATAGTATTACTGAAGATTTAAAAGAAAGCAATGACAAGCAACAGACGGACATAGACAACACAGTAACAAACACAGTAAATGTGGATCATGCAAAAGACAATGAAACTGAAAAGACTCACCTTGATTCTAAGGAAGAGGAAACAAATTGTTCTAAAGGAGAGTCTGCTGTTACTGAAGTAAAATGTGAAATGGAAGATGAAGAAGTTAGTGAAGAAATAGAAGAGCCTGTTATGATGATAAAAGGGGAGGGTAGTGGAGCGGAATGCGAAAGTTCCTACATTATTGGTGAAGAGATTTCTGAACCAGTGATGTTTATATATGGAGATGGATGGGGATATGAAAATGATACTGGAAACCCAGAAGCAATAGAACAAGCAAATAATACTGAATTACAACAAAATTCAGATGTAGATAATGCAAGTGAGGAATGTGTTAATGGAGAACATATTAATAACGTAAATAAAACTAGTAGTAGGAATAAATTAAGTAAGAGTGTTAAGTTAAGAAATAGACTACCATCTGTGACAAAAAGATCCTTAAGAAAACAATCAAATGATAATACAGATGCATTAAAATCAGATTCAAAGAAGCATTGTAAAAGAAATTTAGAGAAATCTAATGGTTCAAACTCAAATGCAACAAGTAGTGAAATAGAATTGAGACAAGATAGTGTTCCCGAAAAAGGTACAGATGGTGAAAGTTCAAGTAAAAGCAAAGTGAAAAAAGATACAGGTAATATTAAAAAAAGAGAAAGTGCACGGAATCTAAGGCAAAGCAAAGAGGTTGTGAACTCAATTTCTGAAAGTGAAAGTCATAGTAATAGTAAATCGAGTATTATAGAAAAAAGAAAAAGTAGTGTATCTTCGGAGCATGAAGATACTGAGAATGTAGAAAATGATAAAGACGCAAGTCCAGACGAGGAAACGAAGATAGAAGATACTCTACCCCCTAAAAAGCTACGCTTAGAAACGACGCCAGAACCCGATAATATTTCACATTCCACATTCGACAACACAGAGGACGTTAAAAATGAAAACAATGAAAATGAAGAAATTAATACTGAAGATGACAAGAATTCTATTTTGCACAGGAAGAAAGTTAAAGCAACTAAGGGTAAATTAAAAGGTAGAAGGTTTCTTAAAAACAAAACAGACCACAGTGAGTTAGATAAGGATAATGATAATATGGGAGGTAATGACAACAAAGCCAGCAAAGCATTAAAGAGAACTTTATTAAACACAACAATAAATGACAAGAATAAATCTGAATCTCAAAGTGAAAGTGAGGAGGAAGAACCAATGACAAGTGGGAAGCGTTTAAAGATTAAACCAAAAAAGATTATGACTGCAACAAGGTACTAACATTTTAAATTGTAAAATTTGTGAATGTTTAAAGAGGCTAACGTCTTTGATGTTTATTCCAGAAAAAAAATTGAAGCCAAAATAATGGCGAAATGCTCTAGCGAATCTGAAGAGGAGACTTTATATAGTTTAGGTGAGTCTTTAAAATGTACTTTTGCTTAAATTTTTTATTCAAAACAACAATTTCAATAAAAAAAATGCATTTACAAAGGTAAAAAATCAACCAAAAGAATGCTAAAGAAGAAACCGAAAGCAAAAGAAAAAGATAACAAAAAGACAACTGGTTCCAATTCTGGGGATAATGACACTCCAGTTAGACAGTCTCGGAGGATAGCTCAAATGAAAATAAAAGAGGAGGCAGAGAGGAGACACTTAGAAGAGGTGACACTGAGAGAGCTGAAGATGATTCACAAAAAGAAAGTGAGTGATCTTTTTTATGTGAATAGTTGACAAACGAACTGGTGGTTCACCTGATTTTAAGTTATCACCACCACCAATGGAGAAACACCAGTTGCAGATGCATTACCCATACATCTCACTAAAGTATATCGCGAAAGTATATCACTTCCACCACACGCCGGTCTTCTGAGAACCCGTTGTACCTCCCCAGGAGTGCTGCCCACTCAGCTGCACCACAGAAATTTAGGGCCATTAAATTTTGTGCTATATAATATACTAGCTTTTCGCCTGTGCCTTCGCTCGCGCTGAGACCCTTAAATACAATCATTCTTTTAATAAAATGTCCAATTAAAAAATAGCCTCTGTCCTTTCTCAGGCTCTAAACTATCTGTGTACCAAATTCATTTAAATCGGTTCAATAGTTTTGGCGTGAAAGCGAGACAGACAGACAGACACAGTTACTTTCGCATTTATAACATTAGTAGGACAGTAATAATTTAGTGCAGTTTCACCAAAAGGTTTATTTAATACCAATACTGTCACCAAATTCATGTGTATGTTTGTGTTACCATTCTAGGCGTAACAATTTTTTTCTTGGGCAGAATGTCCTCTTAAATGCCCTCTAGGTGTGATAGCTACTGAGTTATTACGGCATCCCGACAATGGTTTGGACAATCTAGTATGTACAACAATAAAATTGTTATTTTCAAGTGTTGACTTATCATAATTTATTATGTTCTTAGCAGTGATGGAAAACATCATGAAGAAACCTGAATATTTTCCAATTAACTACTAAAATATAAACATAATTATGTTCCGAAGATATGTGAAGTCCGCAAATATGCAGTGGGGTCGTATGGTGGACTATGCCCTGATTCTCTGTACAGAGGAGGCCTTAGCCCAGCAGTGGGAAATTTATAGGCTGTTACTTTACTTTTTAACGTCCTATCAAATTTATTTATTAAATGTCGTTTACATTACACACGATCTGGTCCCACAGACAAAATGAAAAAAACAAAACTCATCAGATAGCTTCACTTCGTCTATCCACCAGGCCAAGGACGACGAAGAGGAGTGGCGCGCCAGCGGCAGCAGTTCCGAGGGCGAAGCCCGGGGCCGCCGGAAAGCAGCGGCCTGGCGCGCCTCCGACTCGACCGGGCCGGAGCCCGACTCGGAGTCCGAAGAGCCACTCTTCGACCAGCCCGAGGAACCCGATTGTGAGTGGGAGAGTCACAACTCCTGAATCGCATGTACAAGTTGCAGACTTAAAACTTAAAATTCTTACGTCCGGTATGTTATTCAACAACCGCATTAAAATGTGCAGTTATAACACGCAAGGTTTCCGGACGTAATCCCAATGGTGTCCAAAATGAGGTTTTCCTGTGGGTAGAGCAAAACAACGGCTCATATAACAGCACCAGCAAGAATATGTCAGCTCGGGCTAGGAACACGGCCTCACCGAAGATTGGCGTAAAGAAAAACTTGTTGCTTCGTTTGATGAATGAGGTAGTCAGAAACACACTCCCACCTCTAACGTTCAGGTTATCTATGAAAGATGAATCATATGATCAAGAAAATTATTTGCTGTGTAACCATCTCTTTAAGATTACTAAAAAGACATCAGTACTGCGAACTTATAAGCATGTTGCAATGTGAATATCTTTGATTGTTATCACATATTCATATTACAAATTTTGTCCTGGTATTTTATTTGTTGACCTTTTTTTTCACTTATTTATGATCATATAGTCCTACGGTCATGTTTTTTTGTTTGTCACATCGTCTTTACGAAAAGCATACGAACGTAAAATAATTACTTAATTTTTCCAGTCACAATGTAATGTCCCTATAATATTTATTTTTTCTGAAAATCCTTATTAATATGATTAAGTTATATTTTCCAATTACAGTGGAGTTTTCGAAGTCTGACCATGAATTCTCTCCGGAGTCCGACTTGGAAGACGGAGAGCCAACGGAACCGTTAAAACTGGCCCGCACTCTTCAAGGTGAGATTAATTGATTTCTAATTGCAAATTCTAATTTCTTTACAAAAGTTGGTTGTTGGTGACTATTTAATTAGACCACTTAAGAATCTTCCTATATTTGAGTTGTCACTGGCCAATACCTACAAACCGCCATAAAAGAAAAAGAAGAAGAAGAATAGACTGTTTAACAATGTCTTTTGCTAGGGAAAGTTTTTCTATTGTAATTTTAAGTGGAAAATTACAAGTTTCGATTAGCTACCGCTGTCTGTCCAGAAGCTAATTATATTATCACTCATCATAATCCTCCTGTCCTTATCACACCTAGTTTTCCCTGTCCCTTTGGGAACAAATACCCAGATTCGGAACAATTATCTGTGGGTCACATAAATTCTTGTACCATGTACGAATCGAACCCACGATCCCCGACGCCGAAACCAATAGCTTAGAAACGGCGCAACGGAAACTGAATGCTTCTGACTTGAATACTCCTAATGTGGTCTGCACTTAAAATTGCAATCATCAAATTCATTAGTGCCGGCTCTTAGATATCTTCGCGTTTAATATTGTTTTTTTATTCCCGACGTCCAATTCCTAAAAAAAAAGCATGGTCATGTCATGAGACAGACTTGAGCGATAGAATAATTCTTAGTTTCTGTTGATTTTTTTAATTTGTCTTTCATCATTTTTTCTGTTGGGGCAGAGCGGAGCTCTTGGCTTGTTTCATTGTTCTTAAGCATGAAACGCAGACCAAAATAGATCTTCCGGGTCGCAGTGGTAATGGGAGCCACCGCCCAACTAGTTCGGCACAAAAATCACAAGCATGATATGTCACCGTTCACAGGGAACGACGACGGCTTCTGCAAGCGCTGTGGCAGCGGCGAGCAGCCCGAGTGGATATTGCTCTGCGATGGCTGCGACGCCGGCTACCACGGTAGCTGCCTCAAGCCGATGCTGCTGCTGGTGCCAGAAGGCGACTGGTTCTGCCCGCCCTGCAACCACGTTAGTTGGCATACAACCCCTCGCGTTAAACCACATGCAGATGCATCGGAAGTGATTGATGAAAGTCAATTCGTTTACGGCAAAAAGAAAACACTTCGTAGAGAGCCTTCCTTTTTGAGAGCACTCCACTTGTTACTAGTCTCGTTCTATGTGACATTTAGAGCAACATTTCAATCTCTGGTTCTCTTTGAAGGAGAAACCTATTTCTGAAGAGCTCGGTATCCTCCGTAACTGAGTTAATATTTCTCATCGTCAATCGCATTCATCTCTTGGCTGGGGCTCTTCAGTTTCAGCTCCGTCTGAGCACAGTGGTACAGAATCGACAAGAATCATCAACAACCAAGTTTTCACTTTCACACCCTGATCTCACCTAACATTCACATACCATGTGGAATCAATTGTAGCCAGCAATGGACGACTAAAGGATCTTCAAGAAGACAGCATATTCTTAAATCTTTATTTATTATGGTAAGCGTTGCCCGCTTTCCATAATAAATAAGACAAATTTAGTTACCCATAGTTACTAGAACTGAACTGGCAAATGTTTATTTCCACATTACATTCCAGGAGAAGCTGATATCGGCCCTGGAGGAGGAACTCGTCAAATACGACCAGCTCCTGGCCAATGTGGAGGTCGAGCGGGAACACAGACGTCTGGAGCAGATGACCAAGGCCGAGAGTACAGCGTCTGACGCCGGGGAGAAGACCGAAAGAAAGACGGTGCACAAATCGGATGACAAATCCGATGGTAAATCAGGTAAGTGTTCAGCCATTTCAGTTTTCTTCATGAGAGTAGGTAGTAAACAAGCAGGTAGCTTACTCGATCCTGAAGTATTGAGTGTTAACTTTCTGAATTCTGTCTGAGCATCCCATTAGGAGTGTAGGATTTTACGAAGGAGTGTAAAGTATGTATGTATATTTCTTTGATCTGTAGACTACCCAGCTTGATTTGTATTTATTCGTATTTGTGTGTGACCTTTGCACAGTGTGGCAGTAAATCACAACGATCACTCCGACCTCGAAGTTCTACTGCAGTCTTCTCTTCGGGAACATTGTCCTCTTACTGTAAAATAACATTATCCTGTGTTATGAAGACGTTTTACATAAATATAAACTTCATGTGGACAAACACCCAGATCCGAAACAATTACCTGTGGGTCACACAAATAGTTGTCTTGGTTGGGAATCATACCCATGATCCCCGGGCATTGACAACTGTGCCATAGAGTTAATTAAATGATTGCTATTTAACGTGTGAAGTTTCTTTTCATTTTTGTAAGGACATATGTAATATTATTATTATATTTAATATCATCGAACTTATCCTTGAAAGTCCTTCTGTTGTTTTTAATAACTTACTTCACAGATCTTTTTTTATAACTTCTGTGATTTACTGAGTATTGTATTAACAATGAGTTAACTAATTTGGAGTAAAGCACAAAACATCTGTCCCTGCCAGCTCAGACTGAGGTGAGTTAGTGATGTATCTTCCATAACCTGTAAACCAATTGAAACGAAAAACCATACGGGCAACTGAGCAAGAGATAGCTATCTTTTAATATCATAGTTCACGCTTGCCTGCCACATTATCCTTAAAAACCCTATTGTGTGACCGTTGTGGCAGACTGCGAGGACGATGGCAGGAGTGGCAGCAGCAGTGGCAGTGGCAGCGAGTGGTCCTCGTCGTCGTCGGAAGCGGTGTACCGCCTCCGCGCCCGCCGCCAGCTGCCCGTCAGCTACCGCGCCCAGGAGTACGACCGCCTCATCAGCTCCGCCATAAAGGTGCGTTAGGACAAATGCATTGAGAATTAAATCGCACGCAGATAGCGACTTTGCCCATATACCATAAAAAAGTTTGATAAACGGGACAAAGACTACTTTCGCCTTGTCCTATTACATGTACTTGATTCTTTACAACCGATGAAAAGAAATTCTAGAATTTCTATCCTCATCTACTTACTGCTCCTAATATTTTAATCCTTTTTTACTTGTACTATTTTTTTTTATGTGAGAAGGTAGCAATCAAGCAGGCTGTTCACCTAATGTTAAGTAATATCGCTGCCCATGAACATTCGCAACACCCGTAGGCAAACTTATAATAAAGTGGGCCCTGGCTAAATCACTCACTAGGCTTTGAATTGATCATTCTGATCATTAAGAAGACCATTCTGGTCAATGCCTAGATTTTAACCATCCTTTTGGCAACTTAAATAACATTTGAAAAGCCATTTGCCTACTGATTAGTTGACTTCAATAATGATCAGTGTTTCAGAAACCGGGCGTAAAGCTTACAGTACTAAGTATGCAGAAGTAATAATTGTTAAGAATCGCCTTAACGCGACCCCATGGATACTTTTCTCGTGGATATTTTGTTCCTCCCGCTGTTTTACGCCGGTCACTTGTGCGGTATGACAACCCGACACCCAGGAGGATGTCGTGTAGGGCTCGGATCGACAAGTAGCCGCTATACACTCGCGAGCACTTCACATGAACTCAATCGCGTGTGCTCACTATTATGATACGTCGTGGTCAATGATTAAGGCAAATAACATTTATTGAAGACACTATTTCTTCAGGAGGAGTATGTGGAGCCGACCACAAGCGCGGGCAACCAAGGCCGTGGGAAAGACATATCCACCATCATAGAAGCAGCCGAAGAAGAGAAACTCAAGGCGGAAAGAGAAGCACGCGAGCAGGTTTGGATATTTTATTTGTAACAAGAGGGTGTAACTAAAAGATGCTTTTGTTAATGCCACACAAAATGTATAATGTACAGAACAACAGAACATCGTACCAGTGTATAATGTAATTTGGCTTTGTGTGTAATTGACAGTAGTAGTAGAATATATATCTGAAGAGAATTTCCCGTGTGCACAGACACATTAAACAGTCTTATTTTTTTTATGTTAAGTGTATTATGTTTACTTATTATAAGAATTGAAAGAGAGAATTATAAGAATGCCGAAGACGTGGGTTCGATTCCCACAGCGGCCACAATCTTTTCGTACTTTTTCTACATATTTTAATAAAATTTAATGTATTTAATTCTACTGCCCATATTTTACAGTACGCAAGAGTGTTTGATCATAGTAAAAATAAATATCAGATGGAGTGTTTTTAACCCATGTAGAATATAGAAGTATTAATATTAAATTCCTCGTTCATTTTAGGGTAAGCCGATGGATTCGAAGAGAATGAAAAAGAAACAACGTCGTAAGCCAAGAAAGCTCAATTCCTTAGACGTGCCATCTGAAGATGATGAGACCGATGAGGACTTCAAAGATACTGGGTAAGGTGACAGCATATTTCTGCATTTATTCCATCTTAACAATCGAAATAACTTGAATGTTGGTATACACTTACATTTCTTATGTTTTATGTTTTATGTTTTATTATAACCTTTATATTTGAGTAAGAATTGAATTAATTTTATTATTGTCCAAAGTATCTTCTTTGGTTAGAAATCATTATGACTAATATTAAATTTGAAATACTTTAACATCACTGTTCTTTCTCCAGTATGGAATCATCATCCGAAGACATCTCATCGTCAGCGGAACGAGATTCCAGGTCTTCGGACTCCTTGCCAATCAGACGGACTGGGAGACCGGACAAAAAAGGTTGCTAGATATTTTCTACCAAAAACTGACATTTAATAATTATAACAGTTTAAAAAACCTTAAAGTGCATAGAGAAATTTTGAATTTTTGTAAAAAATTAACATGTATCGAACTCTCGTCTTTCTGAATCTGAAATTTCTTTAACCACTAAGCAAAACGGCAGATTACTACGCTGAAAAAAATCTTAATATGTTATCTACATTGTTTTTTCACATTTTAAGCAATACTTGGCCTATCTAATATCATGTCCGATTTACAGCACAAATAATTTCAAATAACGTTGTACCGTGTTATTTTTACGAATTTTAATGTTTCATCTTAAGTGCAGAGATTAGCACTATAAAAACTATAATTCATATTTTTTTAGAACGACACAAGCTCATAGAATCGTCACCGGAGGTTAAGAAAAAGAAAAAAGGCGTATTTGATGACAGCTCCAGCGAATCGCCCGGCGCCAAGGAGTGGTCGAAGAAGTAAGCCAAACAAAACACTTTTATTCTACTTAAACGTCCTAGTGTAACATCTTACGTTATGCAAAACGCCTTTGTCAGCGACTAAGGATTGAGTGGCGAAAATGAGGTTACCTAATTTAGCTAAACTCGGCACTTAGCACTTAAACTTGCACGGATCTTTTCCAAGTGTATCGATTCGATAGTGCATCCGGCTAGAAGGACCAATGCGTGAACGCATGTCATTTAGAGAGGTGAAACGTGTGCGTTAGGTTACCGTTTCGATATTGCATCCGGCTATAAGGTCCAATGCGTGAACGCGTGTCATTTAGAGAGGTGAAAGGTGTGCAAAACTTTACCGTAAATGCATGTCATTTAGAGCGGCGAAAGTTGTCCGAGAGGTTCCCCTATGGATGTTGCATCTGGCTAAAGGGTCCAATGCGTGAACCCAAAGCTCAATGAAGTGAAAGGTGTGCGAGAGATCAAGCTAGGCTGAGTGTCTCAGTGTCGTATAATGAAAAATACACTAAATTCAATCGATAACGGTTTAATTAAACAACTCGGAACTATAGTTGAATGACAAAAAGATATTAAGTGTCCACGGTCACACCGTCGTGAAATTTTACTCTCATCATTTCTCCCAAACGCGCCAAAATGAGTGTATCTTCAAAAATAATGGTTAGGCTGAGCTCTCGCCTGGCGCAGGTCGAAGATCCGCAAGCGGCGGGAGGGGCGCGAGAGGCGGGAGGGCTTAAAGTAGTGTAACTTCAAAAAGGGTTAGGCTGAGCCCCCGTGTGGCGCAGGTCGAAGAGGCGCAAGCGGCGGGAGGGGGGCGCGAGAGGCGGGAGGGCTTAAAGTAGTGTAACTTCAAGGTTAGGCTGAGCCCCCGTGTGGCGCAGGTCGAAGAGGCGCAAGCGGCGGGAGGGGCGCGAGAGGCGGGAGGGCTTAAAGTAGTGTAACTTCAAAAAGGGTTAGGCTGAGCCCCCGTGTGGCGCAGGTCGAAGAGGCGCAAGCGGCGGGAGGGGCGCGAGAGGCGGGAGGGCTTAAAGTATTGTAACTTCAAAAAGGGTTAGGCTGAGCCCCCGTGTGGCGCAGGTCGAAGAGGCGCAAGCGGCGGGAGGGGCGCGAGAGGCGCGAGGGCTTAAAGTAGTGTAACTTCAAAAAGGGTTAGGCTGAGCCCCCGTTTGGCGCAGGTCGAAGAGGCGCAAGCGGCGGGAGGGCTTAAAGTAGTGTAACTTCAAAAAGGGTTAGGCTGAGCCCCCGTGTGGCGCAAGGTCGAAGAGGCGCAAGCGGCGGGAGGGCCGCGAGAGGCGGGAGGGCTTAAAGTAGTGTAACTTCAAAAAGGGTTAGGCTGAGCCCCCGTGTGGCGCAGGTCGAAGAGGCGCAAGCGGCGGGAGGGGCGCGAGAGGCGGGAGGGCTTAAAGTAGTGTAACTTCAAAAAGGGTTAGGCTGAGCCCCCGTTTGGCGCAGGTCGAAGAGGCGCAAGCGGCGGGAGGGGCGCGAGAGGCGCGAGAGGCGGGCGGGGCGCGAGGGGCGCGGGGGCCGCGGCGGCCGGCTGACGCAGTACGACGCGGCGGGCAACGTGGTGCGCGCCCGCGTCACGTACGGCGGCCTCGGCGAGGACGAGCCCAACGACTGGTCGCCCAAGCACCGCACCAGGCAGCGCAAGATCAACTACACGGAGATGCCCAACACGGAGTCGGAGGACGTGAGTTCGGTCCCCTTCGGCCCGCTCCTTTGTAGCCCATGACGATTGGTCACCGTTTTAGTTCGCGCCCAGTTGTACCGTCTTTACCACGTTCGATGTTTTGTCGTTGCAACAAAACTATAAACTATAGACGACAAAATAAAGAGGTTATTGTTCTACACATAATCACTTGTTTATAAATACGAAATAATAAAACGACCAGAATGACGTCCGGATTCATCCCACTGTGTGACGCTTCTATATTGAATAAAGATATTTGTACCTGTCGAGACCTGTGGGCGGTGACGTCCGTGCGTGTTTTTTTTTTATGTGAGAAGTGTGTTAAATTATAACCGCCGCTCATGGAGATGTGTTGCCTGCTTTTAATAAAGTGGGCCCAGACTACTTCACTCACTAAACGTAACGCCAGAGTTTAATACCGTTACTTCACTTGACTTGACGCCGGTCTTCCGTACGGCTGTGGCACTTCCCCACGAGCCCGCCCATTCGAGCAACAGCCAAAGCTTACTCACGGCCGGTTCCAATATTCAATCTACAGATAGATTTGGTTACTGGAGATAGAATTTTGACGTGATTATCCTCACAGCTAACGTGAAATTTCTTTCGCTGTATATTTTCTTTTTATATATATTTAAATATTTATTTAGGACATGTTTTTACACAACGTTCTCTAGCCCCAAACTTTTACTTTTACTATGGTTACCAGATAACTTATAAACATAGTTTTCTTCTTTTTTGTAAATAAGTACATATTATAAATATAAAAATAAACACCCAGATAATAAAAAAAACACCATGTTCGTCACACAGTATTTTTCCAGTAGTCGGGATCAAACCCACACTCTGGCGCACGAAGCAGGTGCATTACCCACTACGACTTTCGGGTCGTCAACCTATTCATAGATAGAATATCGAAATCGGCCGTTGGCTTTCTAAGTCAACTCACGTCCGCAGAAGATGCACAAGTCAATCTGACTCACGCGCGCAGGAGATGCACAAGTCAATGTGACTCACACCCGCAGGAGATGCACAAGTCGAGCGGCAAGCACATGGCGGACAGCTCGGACGAGTTCCGAGCGGACGACTGGGACGGCTCCACGTCGGGCTCGGAGCGCGCGAAGAGGCGCCGCTCGGGCTCGGCGGGCTCGCGGGGCTCGAGGGGCTCGGCGGGCTCGAGGGGCTCGGCGGGCTCGGGCGGCGAGCGGCAGCGCGCGCTCTGCGACCTCGTCAGCAAGACGGCCGTCGTGCCGCTCGAGAAGCTGCCCGAGCACGTGACGCGCGCCAAGACCGAGGAGCTGCACGCGCACCTCAGTCAGTGGCCCTGCGCTTTTTTTTTTTAATTTTTTTTCTAATGAGATGTGAATAGGCCGTATGGAGAAATCCCCAAGACGTTAAGCTATAATAAGGAAAACATGTTTATTTTTTTTTTTTTAATCTGAGCTGTATGAGAGAAATGAATAGTCGGTATGGATAAATCCCCAAGACGTTAAACTACAGTAATAAAATGTTTTACTTAATATCTTAAAGCAATCTAGAGGAGAAATTAATATTCTGTCTGGAGAAATCACCAAGACGTTAAACTGTAATAATTGAATTATTTTTTTTTTTTGTTGAAAGGTGACCATTCTCCAGGTGTTACCGTACAACTTTCCTTTGCTTTTTTTTTAAACTGTGATCAACTATAAATTTAATTATGTTGCCTATGTGAGATGCAGGCAGCAATTTAAATATGTCCATCCGTCAAACTTTCTGTATGAGCAACTTTGCAAGCTCTTCTCACTTTACAAGCGTCGGCTCTTTCCCTTTTCCATCTTCCAATAACCGTCACCATTTGACTCGAAAAGTAGAAGATGGAGACTGCCATTTGTAAATAACAATAATAACTAAGTTTGTGATCTAACATAGGGGAATGGATGCTTTTCAGGTGCCCAGCAGCAGACGCCAATGGCGCGCCCCTTACGCGGCAGGGGGAGCAGGGGCGGTCGTGGAAGCAGGTAATTTGTTGCCTAATTTACTTAATAACTTAATGAAGTAGATGAGGGGTTGCAGTACATTGCCAACCCTTAAAAGGCCCAGCTTACCTCACTCAACAGGTAAATCGCATAACAAAGTTACACTTCTACACGCTAGTCTTCTTAAGCAGTAGGAAATATCCCCAAAAGAGCCTATATATTCTTACAACAGCTATTTATTGCGTTGGTCTGCGACAGTGGATGTATAGGTTTTTCAGTTAATTTTAACAATTTTACCATTTTTCAATTTCAATCTTGTGACCTTTTTTTTTTTTTTTTTAAGATTATTTTTAATTTTTTCAAACGTTATGAACCCTATTAGAAATTCCTGCCTGACCGTCTCAATACAATAACCTATTGACGAGCACTAAAACTTCGCTGAACCCATAATTACTAAACCGCTTATCAATAGGGTCTTAACGAGATAAACAAACAATGTTTGATTTGATATTTTTCTGGTTACTTTTTGTCAAAATAACATATTAATATTTTTATTGAATTATGGAATGCTCAATTAACATTATGTCAAAGCATGTACTTCGTCTAAAAAATCACCATGTATTTGTACTGTTCGACTCGGGCACATTTGCAGAGGTCCCAGAGGTGGGCGTGGGCGTGGTGGTGCGCCGAAGGCTTCCCCCTCCAGCGACGACGCACTCGCCAAGCTGGTGGGGGTTAAGATCAAAGGTATGAATTGTCAAAAAAAAAATAAAGAACGAATTTCCCCATTGAAAAATATTCCTTAATATTTCGGAATCACAAAGAAATTTTATCAAATCTAACAAATTCGTGATTGTTTTTCACAACAACTATTTTATTCTCTCCATCAGATCTCAGGGAAACGGGCGAAATTCCGATGCGACCCAATCAAGTAAGTATAAAATGTTTCCTCTTGCCCTTCCACATTAAAAAAAAATGTTCTCGATGAACTCTATTGTTAAACGCGTCACTTAGGTATAAACAAATCAATCATTGATATTATCAATCGTAACCATCTTCGTTCTCAGGTGGAACGCGAGAAGAAGCGACAGGAGCGCGAAGCGAAGCAAGCGGAGAAGGAGGCGCGTCGGATAGAGAGAATGCAGAAGAAAGAGGAGAAGGAGAAGCTTAAAGAGCAGAAGGCGAAAGAGCGCGAGGAGAAGAGACTCGCGCGCCTAGCGTTGCAGGAGAGCAGACGGATGAAACGCGAGAAGTTGGAGTATATCGCACCCGTGCCGATAGTGGATCGGCACGGCGCCCCGCCAGGGGGCGTGCTAGGCGGCGCCCCTCCGGGGGGCGCGCACGGCCTCGCCCCCCTGGGGGGCGCCCAAGGCCTCGCCCCACCAGGGGGCGGCCATCACCCGCCCAATTCCGCCCTCCCGCCGCACCCGCCCGAATACAGGGAGCGTTTCCCGGCAACACCCAGACTGCAGGTTAATAAATTTATCACTTCATAACTTTCTCCAGAGCCCAACTCTCTGTTGAGCACTAATAAGAAACAACTAAGTAAAAGAATTATAGTTTGTAGAACACGAATATTAGTCTTGAACATTTTGTATCCTGTAGTTTTTGTCGCGGATGAAATTATTTTACAAAAAAAAAAAGAAAACACCGAAGTGTTCTACGTTGATTTTAAATTCCAGACGTTTCGAACAATTTGCAGCGCCCACGTTCACGGGACTTAATTAGCTCCGTAAATTAGTTTCATTAAACCATATTTCTAGCCATTTTTTTGCCATTTATTTTTTCATATTCCATGGTTACTACTCCTTTCGTGGTTATCACGTGGGATATATTATAGATTTCGTTGCCGCAGGTGCGCGCCGAGCTGCGGGGCATCGCGATGGGCGACGACCGCATGCAGCTGATGCACCGGCCGGAGCAGGCGCCCGCGATGCGCGAAGGTCCGTGCCATTCACGATTCGACCTTATGCACATACACCGAGAGTCGATGGTCCCTCAATTGATAGATGCGAGATACTAAGACAGGGGTGGCCAACCTTCACATACATAAGAATTCCTTATGAATTCAAAGTGTCGGCCATAGACTTGGTGCACTAGACGAGCGAAATAAAATAACGCGCTCAACGCTAAACGGACAAAACGGCAAGACGCAGGTTCGAATCCCGCAGCGCCTTTATTGTGTATACATTTTATGTTCTGCAAGATTTAAATCTTATTGACTCTGACTCCCCAAGTTAAGTTTCACCGCAATTGAATGATCGGGTCCCAACACTTAATAAAATAATTTAGTAAAAGCAATTTACGGGAAAAAGTTTAATTTAAAAAGGCATAGATATCTCTTTCTCTACATAAATACAAGAAACTATTCCAGTGCAGTGCTTCATTGTCGTAGACGAGTACAAAATATCATTATGATGACGCCGTGGCGCAGTTACCGAGGTATTGGCTTCGGCGCCGAGATTCGTGGGTTCGATCCCTAGACGAGACAACTACTTGTGTGACCCACAGATAATTGTTTCGTGGTGTTTTTCCACGTGAAATTTATGTTTATAAAACGCCTTTACAACACAGGGTATTATTATCCTAAAGTAAGGGCACGATCCAAAAATGTTGACCTTGTACAAGGTCGCGTGAGTCCACGTGATTAACGCAAGGACGTTCACCCTATAGGCACGTTGTCGGTGGCAGGTTCTCCGCAGCCCTTCAAGCCGGTAGCAGAAGAGCCAAGCGTCATCACGAGGATGCCGCACATGCTCAACCACCAGTACAGGTATGTTCACGTCGCGTGCACAAGTTGCTGCGTGGCCCTACCTCAATTAGCACAACGTTATCTGATCCTAAACTATTTCTCATTAAATTAACACAACTTTTGGCGCAAGAAACAGATAGCCTATTCATTATGCGAGTTCTTTTGACATCTCAATCCACTATTAACCTCCGTACGAATTCTTGTGGTAAAGTAAATCAGCATTTTGAATTAGACAATGTATCCAGTGAAACCCAAGTAGATTTCAAGTGTTTATGATCATCGTCCTCCTTCCCTTATCCCACGTATTTAGGGTCTGCGCAACACTTGAATCATGTTGTTAGTGATATTTATCTTTGGGTAATACATATACTTGTGTGAGCCCACTTACATAACCACGCCTCGCGTGACATTCGAGCTCACGACTCCAGTCCGGAAGTCAACCTTTTGGCAACTGCGCAGTTCGTTGTTTTATAATAGAGAATATACAAAGAACTTAAATAATTATTATACGTATTTAAAACGCGTTCCAAACTTAAATTGATACTGTTTTTATCCGTCCCGATTTAAATTCCCCTTCCTCTCTGTCTATCAGGGGCCCGATGATGTACCCGGGCGGCGGCGGGCCGGCGTACGGCGCCCGGGGCCAGGGAATGATGTACCAGCTGCACCCGGGCATCGGCTCGCAGAACGCGCGCCACCAGTACCCGCCCGGCTACTACCAGCACCTGCGCGCCCTCCCGCCCGGCTACGGGCCCGCGGCGCGCCCGCCGCCCATGGGCCCGCCCACGTCGCAGGCGCAGATGCCCCTGCGCCCGCACGGCCCGCCGCCGCCGCTGCACCACGGCCCGCCCGGCTCCTCGCCCCACCACCACGGCCCGCCGGGATCGTCCCCCCACCACCACGGCCCGCCGGGATCGTCCCCGCTGCAACACGGCCCTCCTGGATCTTCTCCCCTGCAACACGGCCCTCCTGGATCTTCTCCCCTGCAACACGGCCCTCCTGGATCTTCTCCTCTGCAACACGGTCCGCCTGGATCGTCTCCTTTGCAACACGGTCCGCCTGGATCGTCTCCTCTGCAACACGGCCCGCCTGGATCGTCTCCTCTGCAGCATGGCCCGCCGGGATCATCACCTTTGCAACACGGCCCGCCGGGATCGTCTCCAAGACAACATGGTCCGCCTGGACCATCTTCATTACAACACGGTCCGCCTGGATCGTCTTCTTTGCAACACGGCCCGATGCCTCGGGGCCCGCCCGTGTCGTCGCCTCATCAGTACACCACGGGACCGAACCCACATGGGCCCGCACCCCACGGCCCGCTCGGTCCCCACGGCCACCCAGGCTCCTCGCCAATACCGCCCGGGGCCCCGGGGGGGCTGCACCACGGGCCGCCCGTGTCTTCGCCCCTCGGCGCGTCCCACGGCCCGCACGGCCCCGGCCCTCTGCCCCACGGCCCGCTGCCACCGAACCTGCAGGGTCCCCGTCCGCCTCCAAGCCACATGCCGCACTCGATGGGCCCGCACGGTCCGATGGGACCCAGTCTCCACGGTCACCTCGGCCCTCGCGGCCCGCCCACTCACGGGCCCCACAGTTCTCCCATGAACCCTCTCGGCTCCGCTCCCGGTCCTCCTCCTGGACTGAATGCCAACAATACCATGGGTCCGAGTCCCCATGGACCGCTCGGCCCGAGGCTCCACGGCTCCGGGCAGGGGGTTCTTCACGGACCGCCGGGGGCCCACGGTGCGGCCGCAGCTATGGCCCACGCGCCGGCACCCGGCCAGGGCCACAAGGAGCCGAGCCCGCACAGGACCGGCCCGAGCCCCCTCGGCCTGACAGGCCACGGGCCGCTGGGGCTGGGCCACCACGGCGCGGTGCCGGAGCCCCGCGGCGCCCGCGGCCCGAACGGATCCTCGATGCTTCCCATGCATAGACCCGTCCCTGCCCTCGGCGGCGCCGCCACCCCCGAGCTGCCGCCCACCCCCGCGGGCGGGATGCAGCCCGCGCGCCCCTCGCCCGCCGCTTCGGCGAGCCCCGCCCCCGCCCCCGCGCCCCCGGCGGGCGGCGCGCCCCCCGCCGAAGCGCCCGTGCACATAAAGGCCGAGGTGAAGACAGAGCCCGAGTACCGCACGCCGCCCGGTTCGCCGTCGCCGTCGCCGCGGCCCCCCTCGCCGGAGCCGCCGCGCAACCACCCCAAGATCAAGCACACGGAGAACAAGGAGCGGCGGCCGCGCTTCCCGCTCGGGCCGTACGCGCCGCACTACGGGCCGTACGGGCCGTACGCGCCGCCGGCCGCGCAGCCGCACCGGCCGCCGCAGCGCGGCCACGCCGACGCGGCGCTCTACCCGCCCGCCGACGGCCGGCCGGAGCCGCCGCGCCCGTCGGAGGGGCGGGGGCGCCCCCCGGACGGCGGCGGCTCGCCCCTGGCCGCGCCGCCCTCGCCGCCGGAGAGCAAGCCGGAGCCGTTCCTCGGGGCGCCCCCGCGGCCGCCGGCCCCCGTCAAGCTGGAGGAGGGCGCCGGCGAGGAGGGCAGCGTCTTCGGCGGCCTCGTCAGCTACTTCTCGAGCCAGCGCGAGGACGACTTGGACGCGTAACGGACTTAGTGAATGTACATATAGGTTATAGATAATTCTATTTATGCGACGCTCGATAGGCGCCCCACGATGTAGTGTGTACGCTATGTATGTAAAAAAGTTAGTTCGACGCGGTTAAAGCAAACGAAATATTATGATGAGTCTTTTTGGTCTCGAATAGAAAACAAAAAAAACAATGTATTATTATTATTTTTGTTTATTTCTAAGTGAGATTTATTTATACAACAAATGATAAGTACTTACTGTATACTCTAAATACGAATTTTATTAAAGAATGATAATTTCTTTTTGCAAATTAAATGTTTTCTCCTAACGTGGATTTTTTATTAAAAATCACTCACCAAACAATCAATTCATCTAATAATTGAAATAATTACTATAATATTACACTACACGATTTTCATAAATAAATCAAGTTAATCATAGACACAGCAGTGTAAATAATACCTAATGTAATTCAACTTTCCATTAGCATCACTTGCGACTCCATTAGCGACTTGTAAATAAAAATCCTGTATTAATTTTGAGCTTCCTTTATTTCCTTGGTCGACCGGCGACCTTTTTATTACCAGCTGTCTGCTTGTTTTTTCCACCGAAGGATATTGGTTGTTCTGAAACAAACGAAAGGTATTGATTTAACAACAATTCTGTTTAAACTTAACGGAGCTATAACAAATATAAAACACATTTATATATTTTTAATAAGCAGTACTTGCTAGCTTGATATCACAAATTCATATAGCATCATATTGACATGTGTATTTACAATTTTTATCTACGAAAGAATGTATGTTTAAGTTTGTTTATCAGTGCCCTAGTACCAATAAGGGTATCAAGGCTATCTAGTCCCAAAATAAGTAAAGCTTGTATTATTTACACAAGCTTTCCTCATTTTGGGACTGAAATATTTATTTATTTGGTGAATTATTTTGTAAGCTTAGCTTAGTTTGAGGCTATATCATTATGTCCTAAAATATTTACTTATTCGGTAAATTCATTTAACGTACCTGGTGGGGCTATCTTCAGGGAAATGTCGTAGGTTTTGCTCTTAGGCCTTTTAGCCGCTGGCTCAGACTTCTCAGGAGTCTCCGTTGGGGTGACCGTCTCTTGTGTCGCCGCCCAACCGTCCTGCCATTTGGAGATACTTCTAGTTTTTATCATTATTAGGTGAAGTTTGTTTGGCCTTTTGTACAGTTTTAACACCATTTAAAAAGTTCGCATAACGACTTTTGGTTAAAATTTTTTTTGCATTATTGAGGTCTTGTACATTGCTTCGACAGCCTATTACAATGTGGGGGTTATCTTACTTGTCAGACGAAACGCGAAAATATAAATACTTAACTCTCAACTGAACTTTATCTTCAACATGTCCGTTAAAATACTACTACTGTATAAATCCGTTTTTGGCTAAAATTTAATTAACATTGAATATTAACTATGTAACAAAGAGCTGTGGATTTCGTGTGATCTAAAATAAACATTAAGGACCTACCTCAGGATCCTCGATCTCGGGCGCGATGGGCAGGAACGAAAGGAGGTTCTCGTCTTCCCCTCTTCATCAGAACTGCAGAAAGCTGCCACAGGTTCGCAGGTGGTCACGTCCACCTAGAGTTGGAAATATTATAACGAGCGAAAGTGGAAGACTATATATCTGGATAGAATTCAATTAATTCTTCTTTAAACTACAGGTAGTTTCTGCGTATTACACCAGCAGACTTTTCTCATTTTATTTACACATACAGATGGAAGACAACAGAAATGGAGTAGGACGGATGCAGGTAGGTTCTGAGCCAAGGAATCTCTGGTTGCCAATATGCTGTGGCCCGTCCAGCTGTAACGATGACAATGAAGTCAGAAAGGAACTGCTCCAATCACCGAAGGTCGCCTACCTCCACTTTTCACGCACGAGGTCTGAACCGAGGAATCTCTGATGGCCAATAATCGGTGACCTGGCCAATTGTAACGATGACCATGAAGACGGGAAGGAACTGCCCCACTCACCGAAGGCCGCCCACCTCTAGTTCTCATGCACGGGGCCTCAGCCGAGGAATCTCTGGTTGCCAATATTCGGTGACCTGTCCGGCTGTAACGATGGAAATGCGGCCAGGAATGAAGCCCACCTCCACCTCCTCGTCGTCGCGGCTCTCCCCGGCCTGGTCCACGGAGCGGTCCTCGTCCTCCACGTCGAACTCGCTCTCCCGCTCCTCGTATTCCACGTTCTCGTCCAGCTCCTTGAAGTCGGGCGCGAACGCGGACCAGTTCTCCACCTGGTTCTGCGCCCAGATCGAGACGACGCCTGCCGACAACGGAAATAGTGACTTGTTGAGCAGCCGAATGAATGGATGAATGAATTAATAAATGAATGGTTCTTTAATAACGACTTTGTGTTTTAATTACACCCAATGATAAATAATGACGAGGTATTAGCAAATGCACTAGCATATGCAATATATTACTTCTGTCCCATAATGTGATGTGAAAGAATATTTTTTATATTAAATTAGAGTAGAGTAAAAGCATTAAAAAAATAATTTAGTCGTCTGTAAATTTGATACAGCCACTCTGCAGGTTTAGCTTTAATTTATTAGATTTCTCACTTATACAAATTCTTAACTGAAATTGTACCTAGTTTCTCAGCGAGGAGGTGGTTCAGCTATCTAAAGTTCACTGCCACCTAAAGACATTTACGGCATATGAATGAGGTTGCAGATAAGTTGCGAACCTTTAGATGAGCGGGCTGCGCTTACCTCACTCAGCAGGCAACGCAAAAATATAAAAAGTACTTTGGGGCTTTAATAGATTCAAAGCTTATTTGCAACAACAGCAAAAGCTGTGAAATTCTACCACAGTGTTGCGACTGTAAAATTTCATTCACCTACTAGGTGGTAGGAAGCCGCTGGATGAGGAAAGAGGATGATCGTGCACTGTTGCGAGCCCTTGGGGAGGCCTATATCCAGCAGTGGACTGCAAAAGGCTGATTGATTGATGGTTTTTTTTTTTTAAACTTGCCCTTACTTTAGCCAAATAGTCACTAATATCCCGTGTGGGAATCGAACCCACGACCCCCGACGCCGAAGCCAATATCTTGGCAGCTGAGCCACGGAGTCATCAATTGATTGAATGATTGATTGATTAGGTGGTTAAAAATTCCTCACCGGCGCTGATGCTGGCGATGATGGGCCGAACCGGATGCCACACCACGTCCAGGAGCAGCTCGCCCTTGGTGCCGTGCAGGATCTTCACCAGGTTCCCAATGGACTTCTCCCATATGTAGAGCGCGTGCTGGCGCGCCGAACCGGCGCAGATGTACTCCCCATCCCCCGAGAAGCAGCACTTCTTCCAGGTCGTTCTGAAACCAGGCGCAAATCGTCACGGTGCAGACCATAAATCACCAACCTTTTATGAACTACCGCCTAATTTACGAGAAAAAAAAACCCTTTTACATAATTTTTAATCATAACAATTGTATTTCCGTCTATTATCTACTACTAATCAAAAATTAGTGCTCTTTCTATCTCTGTAATTGTTCACGTGTATTGAAAACATATGGTGTAGACAGACGGACCAAGAAAGACAGTTTATTAAAAAGACTCAACAGATATATTACAGATTGGTAGAAAGACATCCAGAAAAAAGATCATGAGCCACCTGCATCTATCAACTTCCGCATACTTGCACAGGTTATCTATGTATCTAGTGGGAGTCAGGTAGTTTGTAGTGTATGAAGCCAATAACAATAACAATATCCAAGCCAATAACAGGCATTAAAGTTGCAAGCTGTGTGGAAGAACTGCGATGCTAGCCCTTTTGCCTGGCATGGCAACTATAGCAAAACATACATCATCATGGAAGTCCAAGATTTGCAGCTCCCAGTTACCAGTGGCCCTGCTATAAAGCATCAATAAATTAAGATAAATAATAAAAATACTCTACTTACTTATTAACAAGGTCTTGCAACTTCTGTATTGGCTCAGGCTCCCCATTTATGCCACATTTCACTACAGTGTTTGTGTCATAAACCCTTATGACTCTGTCCGATGTATTCACTAGGAAGCAACTGAAATAAGCAATATCTACATATTGATATGTGAAACAACATTAGTACAATGTACATGTTTATTAAGTATTGCCTGTACAAATTAAACTAAATTGGTCAAAAAATTATAATACATTTTTACATAACATTTTAATAGATGAAGGATGTTCATATAATCAGTTTTTAAATTACTTGTAATCTTTATTTGTAAAATTACTAAAATGTATGCCTATACGATTGTTGGATTATTTTTTTAATTTGCCTTAACAAAATAAAGCATCCACATTTTTTACTTTTCTTTTATACATACTCTTTTATGCAGTTTTCACTTAGAAACTGCAATTAATTTATTACAGTAGATATTCCAAGTATTATAAACGAAGGATTACTTACTCTCCTCTCCTTGCAAACTCAATACTCTTGATGCCTGTAGTACTTGAAGTGCCAACTGTGATTTTGAAACTTGCTTTGATGGCTAGCGACTGAGAGTCCAGAATTAAAATCTTTCCTTTAGCATTCCCCGTGTATACATAGTCACCCCTGCGGTCAAATGACGCGATCACGTTTATATCACCCTAAAATTGTTATCCAAGTTATATAAACATTATAAGGTAAAATATAAATAATTTGTTTACACATATGCCATGCCTTAATGTCTTAAACAGAAAAGCTAAATTTTCACAGAGTTACTAAATTTTTGTCATATATAAATAATCAATTTTAAAGTAAGTCTGTGATATAAACCATTTTTTTATATCTAGTTGTAACTACAAAAAGCTTAAATTTGTAGTTCCCAAGCAAATATTGTTTAAAAATAAACTGAGTATGATGAAATTTTTAATCGCATATTTTAAGTGCTGATTTATCACGGACCCATGGTTGAAGAAAAAATCAGGAAAAAACATTTTACGAAATAAGTATTAGAAAAATATGCATTAAAAATATTTTGAAGATTGGGAATCTGTCAATCCGCAATGGGGTTGGTTACCTATGCCTTAGCACCTTTGTACAGAGAACTCCTTTGCCCAGCAGTGGGACATATAGAGACTGTTAGTTTATTACAGATATACAAACTTATTTTAAATACTTACATCATCGTCAATTGGCAGAATTTTATGTTCACCTTCAGTGTCAACAAGCAATGCGGCATGCCTCATTGGGCAGACAAGAAATCTCCGATCATTTCTTGGATCAAATTGTACTCTAACTATTGGAGTCGGAAACCTATATCTTTGCTCGCATTCTCCAGACAAAACATCCCATATACATACATTGTGATCAGTGGATGCTGATAATAACTGTAAAATAACATAAAAATGTTAAAATAAATCATGTGCATATAAAAAGTAATTATTTATCCGACTAACACATACTTTCTTACAATTCCGTGACCAGCTTAAACTGCAGACGGGATAAACATGTGCTGATATTGACTTAGCAATGCCTCTTGTCAGGAAGTCCCATATAAAGATCCTGCCATCATTGCAACCAACTGCCAATAGAGTGCCTCGGCGGTTGAATGCACATGTTGCAGCCAGCGATATTGAATCCAATGCTCCATCAAATTCCTTTTTTTAAATAATTTGCAACATTAAAATAATTTACTCTAAACATATTTGACTTTTTTCACTACAACAAATCCTGTAATAAGGGTATTGCTGACAATATATTTTGTTGGAAAAATAACCTTAGGATTTTTTTTTACAATCCTAAAATTGAAAATTTCCCATTGATGTGCATCAACCGAGTATTTCATTTTGTGTCAACTTTTCTCAAACACTAGATAATTTCGGTTTTTTTGCAATAAATATTAAAATGGAATAGTTTTTAAGTTATAAAATAAGAGTTGGTTGTTGATAATGATTGCTGAATATATTCCCTTTTTTTGCATGTAACTACTCAAAAGAATTACTTACTTCTGGATAATTTTGCCCAAAAGATTCTGAAAAAATACAGTACAATAATTATTTTGCACCAATAAACATAACAAAACTTATGAACACAATATCAAGTAAATAAAATAGTAACCACCTAATAGTTCCAAATTCATTTTAAATAGAAAAACACATGAATATAATCTAAATTATGCTCGACCGCTATAAGGTTTTTTTGGATATATACTGTAATTACAGTTAATTTAACAAAATTTTAGGTTAAAATAACAACTCAACTTGCTATGTTATTAATATATGCTTTTTTAAAAACAAAAATGACATTGTGACAATGATGTCTAGTGAGTACACCTTTTCGCGGTTGGACAAAATTGTACTTGAAATTGTAATTGAATTTTTATTTTGTCTTTGGTTAATTATTTAAATTAACAGTAATTATATATTTATTTTACTTCCTTAAATTATTAATAGATGTTTTTGCTTCTCTAGAAAGTTCTTATATTTATTTCAGAATTCTTAAAGTTGTTTGAAATCACTGATACATACTTTTTGTCAGCTTTGTTGGAACAGGTCCACAGTTGAATGAAATTCGCTCTACCGCAAGATCTTGTATCTTGTATTGACTGGTGTTTTTGCTTTCAGTCCCGAGACGATTAAAGCTTCATCTGACGCAGAACCGGTGGGCTAGCCTGATCCCACGGGTTTGGGCCCTCCGCTGTGGGTAGGGCCACGCATGTGCTCATGCGTGCGTTTAACTATGGTGTGTCATCTAAGGGCCATCTAGGTCGCGGTTCGGTCCGAAACCCCGATGGCCGTCGACTGTGCAATTACCTAATCGGTGGCTGGGAGCGGTGAGAACCGCCCCGGAACGCGGGTGTACTTTGTGTACGCGTTGTGTTGGTCTCGCCGTGCTCGGAGGCGAGGGCGAACTAGTGTGTTTGTTGTTGCACTAACTGTGGGTGTAGTGTTATCCGGCGGGACAACCGCAAGATTCCCAACTTGTCCAACAAGGGACAAGACACGATCCAAGGGCTTCTCAGATGGAGGTTTTACCTTGGTATGGGCCGCGATCGGTAGTAGATCCTATCCAGAAGAAGAAGTACGGTCAAAATTGCGATTTAATCATGACATATACATTCATCGAATAATCGTTTAAGAAAATTAAATCACAAATAACAATTATGTAATTTACGAGAATATATTATTTACGAGAACACGAGCTTCACAATAATAATTATTTCACGGAAACGAATTTAATTTTTAACCACATAACCGATCGTTCGTTGTTAGTATGTTTCGTGGTTAAATTTGCAATTCAGTGGAGCGGATAGCGACATCGTGTAGTTGTGCTGGACCAGCCACGTTGTTTCTTTTCAGTCTACGGGTGGTTTAACCACGGATCTGTTATGAAGAAGTTGAAAACACCGATTGTCTAACAGCAAGCTACATTTACATAAAGAAAGGACACAAGAAAACACTAAATTTAAAAGTATCGTAATTGCGTGACAAGTGAAAGATCGTGTACAGTCAAGGTATTAAATAATATATATTTTTTTAAACATTGCCCTTACTTTAGGATAGCATTATCCTGTGTTGTAAGGACATTTTACAAACATAAATTTAACGCAGACCAACACCCAGATGCGAAACAACTATCTATGGGTCACATAAATAGTTGTCCCGAGTGGGAATCGAACCCACTACCTCGACGCCAAAGCCAATACCTTGGCAACTGCGCCACGGAGTCATCTTTCTCATCTTAATTACTTCTCCCATGAGCTGTGATAGCTCATTGTCTGGGCGCTCTCTTATAATTCCGGCAACCCGAGTTCGATCCTCGGTGCCGGTACCAATGAAATCGGTGAAGCAAAACCTAACATATAACTATTATATACCTAATATATTATAATTATTATTAAGTAACCTGCATATTTTCTAAGTAATGAGAAAATAAAATACAAATATTTCTGACTATGCCCTGATACCCTCTGTACAGAGGAGGCCTTTGCCCAACAGTGGAACAATTTTATGCTTTTACTTTACTGAATACTTAGTCAATTTTAGTGGGTTTTCGAATTGCTGTACGAGTATTATTTTCGAACAGTTGATAACACTGCATTCAGCACTGGTTTGGCTTAAAGGTATTGTTACCAGGCCATAAAATCCTTATTAAAGAAAATCAGCATCTGGCATCAGCAGATCCAGTTCAGCATCCTTTTTTTTATTTGAAATGATTAATGATTATTAATTTAATGATTTGTAATAAAATGATATTATTATCATAAGGGTTATATTTTGTTTCATGAATATATTTTTTTATTTCGAGACGGATTAAACCATCCGATTCATGTTGCGCTCTGTATATTATAAATATGTAACGCTACATTGTAAGTACCCTTCGTATCTTTTAATAACAGCCATTTGATATTTATACAAATGTTTTCTAAATGTTGATAAAGAGAGATAATTCTTTAAGCATATGAAAAGATAAACGACTTGTATGATATTTGTTTTAGACTTTAAAAAGAAATATCTTGCTGTTGAGACCACTTTGAATATGTCGATGTCAAATTACTGGAAAGGTGCTCCATTGTCAATGATTTATGGATCGGAGTCTCCTTGGAGTAAACCGGATTTCCCACCGGTACAGCCGGGCCACAATCACGCCGTTTTATACCATGTCCCAAACAATGGAGATTTGGCAGAGGATAGGCCACCTAAACCGCAAATGGGCCAAGACAAATGGGACCAACATCATGTTAGATTACCTTGTTCCAAACAAAGCCTGTATCCTGTAACAGATGTATGATGAGTTATAAATTATTTTAGATTACATATTTTGGTTGATTTCTAATTTATTGCTATTTGTTTCTCCATTATTTTACCTTGCTATCACTGGTCTTAGCATGGGTAAATAAATATGGTTTATTAAAATTTGTCGAAAAAAGTACAAAAAGTTGTGAGAATCGAAGTGAAACTCACTTCTTCGGGATTGGTGCTAAGCTAAATGTCTGATTTTCACACCAATGAAAATCTTTCATCTGCATTGATTTTTAACATTAGAAGCAATGCTTAGTGCATCCATTGTTATATCAGTTCCGAACAAAATTTTACAATGATAAATCGTACAAGAGATATTGCCACTGCATTTTATAATTTCTAAATATGGTTTATGTTAGTACCAAAAATCCAAGCTTTGTCAACATACTAGTCACAAATGTCAGGCAATGATCTTTTATTAAATTTTTATGTTAACTTTTTCATATTATATCTATTTATGTATTTTTCATTTCATTCAAGGAGAAAGGTGAGACACGCTTAAGAAAAAGATGGGCAATTATAGAAAACTCCTTAAGAAAACCAATAAGGAACAGTCAACAGTTAGCAAGCGCCATATTGAGCTATAACACAAAGTTTAAAAATAGGTGGAAGTTTAGAGCACTCCATAAACTGTTTAATGAGGTATTTTTTTTTTCTGATTAGCTTTATTTTTAAGTATCATTGCAATAAGCAAATCATTATTTAAAATTATGATTATTGTTATAAAAATTTAATAACTTTTTCATTACTTATTGCAATAATGAACATATTTAAAATTCTACAATACAATATGATAATATTCCAAAATATTTTTTAATAAATTAAATTCTTGTTTATAATTCTACTAATATTGAATGAATGAAATGATTAGTTCAATATATAATTCTTTTTATTAATAATTACAGAGCTTAGAAGAGGAAGAGTCACAATATTTTTTTGATGTAACACTACCGCAAATTACCAAATTAGTTCTAGACCTACCAAAACTGATTCAAGCACCCATACCATTACTGAAGTGAGTTTATACAGAAATTTTGGATATTTTCACGCCTATCTATTTGAAATTAGGTCTTGTTAGTTTCTGCTGAAAAAGCAGACATGTCTGAAAAAGCACATATATCTTTATTTACTCTATATTTTTAAGCAAGCCAACATCCACACCTGTGACTGTATCAATGTAACATATAATAGATATAAAATATAATAGTTTATAATACTTTCATATCTAACATTAGATCCAATTTTGCATTTAAGTAAGTTTTGTTTGATTTCCTATTTTACTCAATTTACAAATACCGTTTTTTAAAGGTTAAATTTGTTTTGCAGGCAACATAAAAACATGTCCATTTCCTTATCTCAACAACAGATTTCTAGTCTGTTGGCCAATGCATTCTTCTGCACATTCCCCAGGAGAAATAGCTTGAAGCGGGACTCGGAATATTCGTCATATCCTTTCATTAATTTTAACTCGTAAGTGTTTTTTTTCATAACTATAAAGTTATAATAAAATAAAAAGTGAATTTCCAGAAAATGCTGCAAATGTATAATTGCAATACTCATTGCTTCTGTGATATTGCAAACATGCTTTAAAATAAAATATGTTAACTGACCAATCGTCTGTAATTGTTATATCTTAACCATAACTGTGAATGTTGCTGATATATTATAGTAAATTATGCTAGTAGTATGTTTGTTAATTATATAGTCTCGGAGTTTAAGAAGTTTTGTCCAATTTCAGATTGTATGAAACATCTGGTTCCAATGATGTGATGGAGAAACTGAAATGCATTTGCTACTACTTCAGAAGGGTGTGCATGGAAGGTGATACTATTTTACAATAACATGTTTTACTAAAGTATTTTAATTTAACATTTAAACCAATACAATATTATGTGAAACTTCAAAGAAGACTTCTTACAGAACCCTCCTTAACAAATCCAAGAGGCCACTAGGGGTACAGTCAATTTCAATGTGTCTGTTATAAGTGCTAAAATGTCAAAAGGTTATGGTACTGTTGAGATCAACCTGTATTTTCTGTAGTATTTATATTTTTGTTTAGAAAGGTTTAGGTAGAAAGTCACAAAGACTACTGTGACCTAGAAGATCCATTGAAATCTTCCCTTTGAAAACATTGGCGTGTTACTGTAGGATAACATTAACATGTTCTCTAAGGATGTTTTACATATATAAAAATTTCATGTGGGCACATACCCAGATCCAAAACGATTATCTGTGGGTCACACGAATAGTTGTCCCGTGCGGGAATCGAACTGATGACCTCGGCGTGCAACCCGTCCGCTGTGAACACCAAAGATCAAGGGTGGGTACAGTCGCGTGTAACCCGTCCCCTCTCAACGCTTGGATCAGGCGTTGGTACAGTCGCGTGCAACCCGTCCGCTCTAAACGCCAACGATCAGAGGGTACAGGCGCGCGCGACGTGGTAAACGAACAGCGGACGGTCGCGTAAAGCAGACGTCCCGTGCGATCTTTTGCACTGCAGTGCCGGTACAGTCGCGTGCAACCCGTCCCCTCTCAACGCTTGAATCAGGCGTTGGTACAGTCGCGTGCAACCCGTCCGCTCTAAACGCCAACGATCAGAGGGTACAGGCGCGCGCGGCGTGGTAAACGGGCAGCGGACGGTCGCGTAAAGCAGGCGTCCCGTGCGATCTTTTGCACTGCAGTGCCGGTACAGTCGCGTGCAACCCGTCCCCTCTCAACGCTTGGATCAGGCGTTGGTACAGTCGCGTGCAACCCGTCCGCTCTAAACGCCAACGATCAGAGGGTACAGGCGCGTGCGACGTGGTAAATGGACAGCGGACGGTCGCGTAAAGCAGGCGTCCCGTGCGATCTTTTGCACTGCAGTGCCGGTACAGTCGCGTGCAACCCGTTCCCTCTCAACGCTTGGATCAGGCGTTGGTACAGTCCTGTGCAACCCGTCCGCTCTAAACGCCAACGATCAGAGGGTACAGGCGCGCGCGACGTGGTAAACGGGCAGCGGACGGTCGCGTAAAGCAGGCGTCCCGTGCGAAATTTTGCACTGCAGTGCCGGTACAGTCGCGTGCAACCCGTCCCCTCTCAACGCTTGGATCAGGCGTTGGTACAATCGCGTGCAACCTGTCCGCTCTAAACGCCAACAATCAGAGGGTACAGTCGCGTGCGACGTGGTAAACGGGCAGCGGACAGTCGCGTAAAGCAGGCGTCCCGCGCGGTCTCTTGCAGTGCAGTGCCGGCCGGCGTGGTGACCTTCGAGCGGCGCTCGGTGCCGCCGCGGCTGCTGCCGAAGTGGGCGGAGTCCGAGCGGCCCCTCGCCGCGGCGCCCCTGCACATCGACGCGCGGAACACCATCGAGGAGGCGGATGGCCTCATACAAGTGGACTTCGCCAACAAGTACGCCGTTTAGGGAGGAACCTCCACCCAGTTGCCCCAGTATTTTTTACGTGAGATGTTGGCAAGCGAGCTGGCGGTCACCTGATGTAAAGTGATAATCGCTGCACTTTGACATGTGCAACACCCGTAGAGTTGCGGATGCGTTGCCGGTCTTCTGTGAGGTCATGTTAATAATAATAATAATAATATACTTTATTGTACACCAAAAAAAATCAAAATGAAAAAGTACATAAACAAAATATTTTACAAAATATTGGTCATCAAAAGGCGGCCTTATTGCTACACAGCAATTTCTTCCAGGCAACCTCAAAAATTTACCAAAAGAAATTGTTGATGGGTAGGATGTACATGAAGAAAAAAAAATAATAATAGTAAAAAGAAAGTATCAATTAAAATAATAAGAAAAACATACTTCAAGTGAGTGATCATAGAGTTAAAGGTGAAATTAAAAGGGGTAGAGAGAGACGTTGAAAGATAGAGAGGAGCTAGACAGACAGATATTGCTCCTTAACCTGTTTTTTAAAAGAGTCTAGGGTTTTAGCACGTTTTATAGCCAGAGGTAAAGAGTTCCAGAGTTTAACAGCAACAGCAGAGAAGGATTTATGGTAAAAACTAGAGGATTGCATAGGATGTTTAAGGAAAAGGTTTTCATTTGAACGTAAAGGAAGATTATGAGAGGAGCAAAGAAATTGAAAACGTTCCTTCAAATATTGCGGACTTGATACGTTAAATAGGACACAGTAAAGAGCAGAAAGAATGCGAGTATTTCGGCGAAAACACGTACACCTAACAGAATGTCATGATCTACAGTATTAAAGGCTTTGCTGAAATCCAACAAGACCAATACTGTGACTAGACGACTGTCCATTCCGAAGCGAATGTCGTCAGTGATTTTCAATAATGCTGTAGTCGTACTATGACCAGATCTAAAACCAGACTGAAGCGGATCGAGGATATTGCTTTTAGTGCAAAAGGAATAAATTTGTTCTTGGACAAGGCGTTCAAGGACTTTAGAAAGGAATGGGAGAATAGAAATAGGACGATATTCGGAAAAACTCGAAGGATTTGCTTTTTTGGGTAAGGGGATCACTTGTGCATTTTTCCAGAGGGAGGGAAAGGATGAGGATATGGAAAAAATTTGGATGTGCGTTATAACAGGTGTAAGAATGTCAAGCAAAGGAATGATCATTTTACGACTAACGTCATCACTCCCAACAGCGTCGGAATAAATGGAGTGTGTCTCTTAACATCACAATCTGCAAATTGCCCAAAGACAAAAGGAGGATAGTCAGGAGTGGGAAATAAAGAAAGTTGAGTAAGGGTAGTTGATTTAGCAACATTATCTATGCAAGAAGAAGACGAAAAAAAATGCTGGTTAAGCATATTTATATCTAAATTATTTGGAAGTACGTTTGAGCGTGATTTCCCAACTCCTATAGACCTTAAGAATACCCAAACACGACTTGGATCTTCATTTTGTACAGATTTGTGGATATGGCGGCGTCGTAAATCCCTACACATCTTGTTGCATTGATTCCGAAGGAGCCTGTATTTTTCCTTAATTTTATCATTATTGGGATTTGACTTGTACTTCGACTTTGCATCATTCTTTTTAGACAACATTTTTTTTAGGTTATCTGTCAACCAAGGAGCCGGAGAGTGTCGTATTCGAACTGGACGAACAGGGGCATATACGTCATATAGTTGGATAAGGAGTGAATTAAATAGTGCTACTTTTTCGTCAATTGTGCGAGCGTTTACTACAACACTCCAATCTGTATTAGCAGTCTCGTTTCGCAGTCCGTCTAAATCCATTTCAACAAAATTACGCTGCAGCAGTATCCTAGATTTGGCTTTGGGTGGTTTGATTTTATAAGAGAGAAACACTAAATCGTGAAAGGAAAAAGCGTCAGCTGCGCATTGACCATATTTGTCAACATAGTCAAAAGAAGAAACGATTACCAAATCAAGAAGAGAGGGGACACAGTTTGGAAAGAAATGAGTTTCAGAAAGGGGAAGGATATTTAAATTGGCAGCTTCTACAAGGGACTTAAGCCTCAAAGATCGCGTATCATTTTTAATGAGGCAAGTGTTGAAGTCACCCATAAGCACCGTATACCGAGTACAGAGGAGTGAGGTCTTCAAGAATGCTATCCAATGTATTAAAATAGTCCACTGTAGCAGAAGGACTGTAAAAAACACCTAGAAGTAATTTGGTATGCGATAGGAGTACTTCAATAAATAAGTATTCTGCTTGGTTCTCATTTTGAAATTGAGATGATAAACAAACAACAGAAAAAGGAATATGAGAACGAAGATAAATTGCAACTCCACCACCGCCTCGAGCAGTGCGGTCATTGCGTATTAAATGAAAACCTGGAAGAGAATAGGATACAGATGGAAGACATGGTTTTAACCGTGACTCTGAAACTTTTAGCGCATGAATGTTATTATTATCGAAGCTTGCTAACAAATCGGAATAATGTGCGGGAATACTCTGTGCATTTATATGTACAATATTAAAATTTTTAAAAGCTTGAGAAAATGTGGAATCAAGGGTCTCTTTTAAAGAAGGTATGCTTACAAAAACTGTCGTCACTACTCAATATATCAGTAGCAGAAGTAAAGGAATCTTGATCCTGATCACTTTCACCAAAAACCATGTTCACTTATTAAAACTTAATAATAAAAAAAAAAAAAAACCAGATAATAATAAAAACAAATAAAAAATTAAAAGAAAAAAAAAAGATAAAGATTAAACTAAATAACGAAATCTCTAATAATTTTAAACTTAAATCTAGGTTTTATTAATTAATTTCTACCTACCAGCATTGACAGAAGGATATAATATAATCACTTATTATAAGCAGCAAGTAAGCCTAAAAGAGAAATAATAAAAACAATAACATATTACATCTAGAAATTATTTTATCTTTTTAATAACATAATTTTAATGCTGGCAACACTACTACACTACAGAAATGTCAGTGTCACTTAATACTATAATTTAGCGACACAATCAATGACGTCAAAAGGTTATGTTTACATGTTTGTAGTTAATCACCCAGATAAATCTGCCTTGTTGCGTGGCCCTACCACTTATCCAATCACTTATGAAGTGCATTTCAAAATAACAAGTATTTACCGTTTGCTAGAATTTGAATTACCGAGTAACAAACCGCAGTTCGTTTCTCTGTAGTAAGCCAAATGTTTGATTAAGGAACTATTAAGTTTTTTTCACTCGTAACTGTCTGTGTTTTAGATACTTGGGCGGTGGCGTTCTGGGCCACGGGTGCGTGCAGGAGGAGATCCGGTTCGTGATCTGTCCCGAGCTCCTTGTTTCACTGCTCTTCACCGAGGTGCTGCGGCCTAACGAAGCGGTCATGATCATCGGTGAGCATTTCTTTCTCCTCATTCTGAACCCACGACCCGAAACACCAAAGACAACTAATATGTTGTAGTATTTATTTTTATTTTTTAAACGTCATCATAATTCAAAGTGCTTAAAGTCATGTCATGAGTGCAGACACTCGCACTGAAAGTAAAATTTGATTCTCTTCAGTTGGGATCATGAGGGAGAGGGGGGGGGGGGGGGGGGGGGGAATGTTTTTAATGTTAGACAAACGAAAGACAGAAAACCGCCTTGAGAGGAAGAGAGAGACTCGTTCCAATGCGTAATCTCGTAGGCGCGGAGCGCTACAGCCAGTACTCCGGCTACGGGCACAGTTTCGAGTGGGCGGGGCCGTGGGCGGACCGCACGCCGCGCGACTGCAGCGGCCGGCGCCGCGTGGCGGTGCTGGCGATCGACGCGCTGCCCTACGCCTGCCCGCGCGAGGAGCTGCGCCGCGCGCCCATCACGCGCGAGCTCAACAAGGTGAGGCGAATGCACGCGATTGTACTGCCGCGCCCGTCACACGCGTGCTCCACAAGTGGAGGACGAACGCACGCGACTGTACCGCCTCGCCCGTCACACGCGTGCTCCACAAGTGGAGGACGAACGCACGCGACTGTACCGCCTCGCCCGTCACACGCGTGCTCCACAAGTGGAGGACGAACGCACGCGACTGTACCGCCTCGCCCGTCACACGCGTGCTCCACAAGTGGAGGACGAACGCACGCGACTGTACCGCCGCACGTCCGTCACTCGCGTGCTCGACAAGGTGAGAACGAACCCACGCGACCGTACCGCTGCGCTTACACGCGAGAAGTTTCACTTGACTGTACGCACACCTTGTCAATGGTGCACACTATAGAGAAGTTTCACCCAGCCAACGACTTTACGTCGATCGAGTCAATAGTACAATTATGATAGACAACAAAGAGAAAATCTTTGTAAAATGTAATTAAATTTTTTCTTAAGTGTAAAATTGGCCCGCGGGCTGATCATCACATGCCAAGTGATTACCGCCAGTGGGGTCGCGTCTGCGATACAGGAGGTATACACTTAGCATCGCTTTTATATTGTTCCGAACGCGCTAAAATAAGTCCAACTTGTTTCACCGCTGCAGGCCTGGGTGGGCTTCTCGTTCCACGCGGAGGGCGAGGGCTCGGGGCTGCGCCACCCCGGCGTGGCGACGGGCAACTGGGGCTGCGGCGCGTTCGGCGGCTCCGCCCCGCTCAAGGCGCTGCTGCAGCTCATGGCATGCGCGCAGGCCCGACGCCCCGCCGCCTACTACACCTTCCGCGACGACAGGCTCGCCGAGGACATACTCGTCAGCTATAACTTGCTCGCGGCGCACCTCGTCACCGTCGGTGCGTGCCCTTCTCTATATAACACGGCGACAGGCTCGCCGACGACATACTCGCCGTCTACAACGCGCTCGCGGCGCACTTCATCACCGTCGGGGCGTGCTCACCTGTGTTCCGCGATGACAGGCTCGTCATCTACAAGGTGCTCGCGGCGCACTTCGTCATCGTCGGTGCGTGCTTATATCTATGACCCGCGACGACAGGCTCGCCGACGACATACTCGTCAGCTGTTACTTGCTCGCAGCGCACCTCCTCACCGTCGGTGCGATCCTACCTCTATATCTCCCGACGACAGCCTCGTCACCTACAAGGTGCTCCCGACGCACTTCGTAATCGTCGGAGCGTGCCTATCTCTATGTACCATGACGACAGGCTAGCCGACGACGTACTCTCAACTCCAAACGTGCATTTATTCGAGTTACGAATATTTTTCCTCAGAAATGTTCAAAGTTAATGTGGATATCATCAAAAATTTATCGATATATATATATATATAAGATAGCTGATATCTGGTTGCAGGTCAGCTGTACCATCTCCTCATGCAGTTCTGCGACGAGAACCTTCCCGCCTCCAGTTTGCATTTGTACCTGACGCAAAAGCTAAGGGAGGATTCAGTGCCGACGACGCCGAAATTTGGATTGTTAAGTGTGAGATATTAGTTTTACAAAGTGTTTACTCAAGTTCGGATATCTAACACGTACACATTGATTGACAAAAAATACCACTACCGATTCGGGAAAGAAAAGTCGAAAGAATTTTAGCGGGCTTTTATTGAGACTTAAAACAACTCATTATTACATTGATAACGTATTTTTACGTTGGCAATAAAGTCTAAAGCTGTACCGTTTCGAACTTACTTTACCGTTTTGAATTTGCCTAATATTGGAGATACTTATTCATGCAAGTATTTCTGTTAACAGAGCGAGGAGGAGCGATCGTTGGTAGTGGACGCTATAGAAAACGAGACAAACCATTCTCCCGACATATTTCTCCTGGACACGGAAGAAGAGTGCAATAAAATACCAGACCAGACGAGTGCAAATGATGACGTTGAAGATAACAAAATGGCAGCTCACAACAAGATGGCGGACGACGACGAAATGGCGGTCCCATCCGAGTCCGGTTCCACGTCGCGTCTGTTCGAAGAGATGGAGAAACTGGACGAAGACAACGGAACGTTAAATTTCAGCAACGCGCACACATCACCTTTCAAGCAGTTGGCCAAAGCGGTCAGCGCCGAAGCGGACACCGTTCGCATACAAATGGACCTGTCGACGGAAGCCAAAAGGAAGATCAGCAGAAAAATTACCGACTATTTCGCGAAGAAATCGATTTGATCAATAGCTGCTTGTGAAATAAACATTTATGTATATGGCATGGTAGTTTTAATTTGACACACAATCCCTTATGTTAAAGCTAAGGAGATTAAATTAAAAAGATGCTAAAGAGATAAAATTGCTTATGTATATTATGAAATTATGAAACGGGCATAATGAGAAAATTGCTTAATGTTTTATATTGTAGTACACAAAGTAATAGGTAGAAATATAAGAGAATGATAGATACAAACTCTTATTCAACAAGTCCGACGTCCAAGCCTCGGGAGTATCACTACCACATTCAAAAAGTATTCAGAATAATTACAATAATAATGTTATGAACAATGTATTTCTCTTTTTTGTATACAAGGCATGTAATTTTTTTTTTAATTTTGAAACTACGTTAATCCTTACTTCCTTACTAATATTATAAACGCGAAAGTTTGTATGTATGGATGGATGTTTCTCATGGATACTCTCACGCAAAAACTACTGAATAGATTTTAATGAAACTTCACAATAATATCTTAAAAGTTGTCAAGCGAGCAGACGGTTCACCTGATGTTAAGTGAATACCGCCGCCCATGGATTACTGCTACACCCGAGGGTTCCACATGCGTTGACAACCTTTTGAAAATTGGACTAAATAATCTCTATATGTTCTTTATTACGACTTCCACAATTATTCATCATTTTAATGTTTCCAATACCATTTTAAAGATTACTGTGCCATTATTGACGTAAAATAGAATGAACTAAATATTTTCATAAACTTCGCCTAACGCACTTCGTTTAATAATTATTATCTTGTGAACAATGTATGATAATGCCATCTATTGACAATGTTGTTAAATGAAACATACCAAAATAGAAATTCTTCAAAATATACCTATATATTTCATTGATAAATATTTGCTTATTTCAGGCACGGGTCAAATAGTTATATAATTAATAAAACTTTTTATTACTTTTCTTTCAAGTTGTATTCATTTTCCGACAAATATTTTTTGCATTATTTATCCTTTCCTCTTTTAGAAATATGTGAATCAGTATTTAGATGTTGTTATATTAGTGAAACTGATTTCAAAAAATATCATTTAAATGTTTTTTTTATCTTATTATCAAAATACCATTTCAATCCACTAACCGCCTTTTATCCATGACTGTACCTTGATTTGTTTACTGCCTATTCCGCGTCTTAGAGAAAGTATGTCTACAAGTATATAATTTATAAATATAACTCGTCAATGTTAAAACTGAATGAATTCATTTTCTCAAAGAAATATTTATCAAAATAAATAAAAAAAATGAAATTGGCCCATGAGGGGATCGAACCCGCGACCTTCGCGTTATTAGCACGACGCTCTAACCAACTGAGCTAATGGGCCGGTGCCGATTCATAGCCAAATTTGGGTTTGGAATGTTTTCTTTTTTTATTAAAACATAAACTTTTTTAATTTCGCCTAAACTGATTCAACTTCGACAATATTTTTTAACTTGCAGACATAATTTATATCTCTATATATTTCTTAATCTAATATCATGAAATGAAGATACTTGAACGAAATGCTCTGCTTATTTTTACATAAACAGCTCGTTCACGGAGTTTTTTTATGTGAAAAGTTGACAAGCGATTCACTTAACATCAGGTGAACCGTCTACTTGTTTGGCAACTTTTCACATAAAAAAACTGACGTAATGTGATGACCGCCGTCCATGGACATCTACAAAACCCGTGGAGATGCAAATACGATGCCAATCTTTAAAAAAGTGGGCCCCGGCTACCTCACGCTCGTACGGTGCGTGAGTTAGCCGGCAACGCGAAATTATAACAATTACAGTTCACGCCGGTCTTCTTTAGGTCTTCTGAAGACTGCTGCGTACTTGTTTTTATTTTAGCCTTGTTTAAAAAAACATTTCGGATTTCTTACGTGTTACCGATACGGTATATTAAGATAATTTTCTTTTATAACGTCGGTCCCAGACATGTGTGCTAATGTTTGCAAAGATTCTCAAATGTTTTTTGTTTCATATTTGCCATAGCGTGTCGATTTTCCAACTCAGATAGGAATGGAATAAATATTTGTGAATGTCCATACTTGTTGAAGCATCCGTTGAGCTTTCTAATTGAATGGAAGGTGCAGCTGGAGTTCATTAAATACCGCAACTAGAATCGAAGGCAAATCTTTTCCTCCCGTGACTCTATCCTATCGGAGTTTTCTTCTTTTTCTCTAAGTCCCTTACCTTACTCTTCCCTGTTAGTCACTGTCATGAGGACCGGCGTGTCTGCCAGGCTTAATACTAATTCAACCGGGCCAAGGTCGGAGTTTTGTTCAGTAATTACTTCCAAGGAATGTTCCCCTAAGGGATTCCATTCTTGGGAATAGGTTATATTTCAAATTTTTGTATTTTAATTCAGGTTCGTAGGAGCCCTGGACCAGGGGCCTAGGACGTCAAAAACTAAATAATAAATTATATTAAATTATTAAAAGGATGTAATAAAAATTTAAATTGTTTATAGTGCTAATCTTTGCACTTAAGATTGAAAACTTAAGCTTGAATTTGTTTGTATGCTGGAAAGGATATAACAATAGATGGCGCCAAGCATTGCTTCAAATGCTAAGAAAACAATGTGGAAGAATGGGTTAAGATTTTCGTCGGTGCGGTAATCAGCCGTTTAGCTCAGTGGCTAGAGCGTCAGGCCGCGAATGCCGAAGACGTGGGTTCGATTCCCACAGCGGCGACGATCTTTTCGCACTTTTTCTACATATTTTAATTTTTCTACATATTTTAAGGATGTAATAATATAATGCTACTGCTTCGGCCCAGTCGTCCTTTGTATCCGCCATCTTTGCATATACTAATCCACAAATGTGAGGAGAAACAAGTGTAGGAGCTGAAAGATTTTGTTCCAGTATTTGACAAAAATATCCGAAAATATTTTTATAAATATTTACACACATGCCTGGGACCGGCTTAATAGTGGTGGTAATCGTTTATAATTTACAAAATGTCTACCATTGACACCACAGAACATCAGAGATTATAATCAAAATAAAACTAAAATTTTATGTCATATTTTATATTTAACATATGTATTATTAGGTACGTTCTTATCAAATAATAAAAATACAACGTACATTTAATATCGTAAAATTATGTAAATTACCCGTTACTAGTTGTATTTAGTTGCCATAAAACACTTACATTTTGACACTTTAACCTAGTACATTTCAATTTGTAGTATTATAATAAAATATGAAATCTGAAAGAAACAGTTAAATATTAAATTTAGAATTTTAAATTTATCGTAACAAAATAAATAGACCAAGCCTTTGTGAAAACTCCTATTTTTCACTTCGGGGAAATACTTATAAATATTTTTTTTTCAAAAACAAGACTAATAAAGATATCTAAGCTGCTATTAAAGCATTTCATAGCTAGATTATTAGCAATATCAACTCGAAATTGCGATACAGGATAGAGAGAAAATATACATACTAGGTAATACGCACAAAAATAGTAACAAAGACAAATTCATTTTTTTAAAACTTTAATATCAACGAGGTACTAAGTATGGAGGTTAGAGATAAGGATTATCACATATTTTTAGGAAAAAAAATGTTAATAATAACGTTTAATAAATGACAAAAATGGCGCTAAAAGAAAGAAGTTGACAGTAATATAGTTGTTAGCATTCTGAGAAAATGAGTAAGTGTCTTTTGTCCTCTTTTTTAATAATTTTATGCGTTTTCTTTGAAATGTACAACTTATATCAGTGTACAGTAATGGCTTCTTGGTGTTTTCGATGAACACTATCTGTATATTGAAATCATTAATAATCCTTTTCAATACACTCGATAGTACTAATTAGAGATAGGTAACGTTTCAAAATAATTATTAGATTGGTTGTATTTTAATTTGTAAACACAGCTAAATTTTAATAAATTACTACATTTATTTCAGCATTTGCTTACGAACATGCTTTCATATCGGATCCGCAAACTAAGCTAAATCGTATTCACAAACTTACTTCACTTTTATTTTTTCCTCTATACAATTTTTGTATCCGTATCTATATTGAGGATTTTACGTATTATGAAGAATACAATTAACATTTAAAAAAACACAGTTAAATTTAAATATTCTTGCAAAAGTGACGGCGAGGTAATTGGTCCCATATCCAAATACTATATGAACTTAACACGCAGCAGTCTTTGCTGTTGCATGAATGGGCAGGCTCGTGCAGGGTAGACCAAGATCTTACAGAAGACCAGCGGAATGGACGAGTTATACTGCTTCGTTTCATTTGGCTAGTGAGACCTCTCTAGCCAAATGAAACGCAGAAGTATAACACGTCCAATCACTTTTTAGTGGGCTCCGGTGAAAGTGGCAATGGCAACGCACCTGCAACCCTGCGGGTGTTGCAGATATAAAGTTAAAATATATGTAAATAAGGTTTTTTTATTTTATATCTAACTATGTTTGTTTCTACATCTTCGTAATGTTTTAACACAATTTGACAAATACTTAATAATCAAGAACGGTTGACAGGACCCGAAGATTCCTGTAATATACTATTATAATACTATATTCGTACTTGTCAGACATCGTTGATCCCCACCACTTATTAAATTTACCAAAGTATTTTATTAATTCCAAATGCCACGATTAAAATACATAATTAAACAAAGCGATAACGATGAATTACATTAATTTCAGTTTAATGTATTTACTGACACTCGTAATATAAAAAGACATGACCAAAGAGTACTTTTATATATCTGAAATAGATATATGGACATAGTAGAGCACATTTTTTTTTAAAAAGGTTCACGTAATCTTTGCATTTGATGTAAGATAGATAGATTGATTTGCATTCTGTTCTGAAACTTATTAAAAAAATGATTTTGTTTTAAAATATAATCAAAAGCAATAAGATAATAAAGCTATCTTTATGTTCGATTATATTCTAAGCAATATAAAATACATAAAACAATTTTACAATGTAACATTTGATCTTATAAATTAATTGTGAGGATCATAATATCCATAATAGAATTATTATATCATTTTGTACAATATTTTTATACATTACTTAACTAGTTATGTAGGAAAATGTATTAATCTGTGATAATATAACATGACAAATATAATTTAATAATATTACAGATAATTACAGCTTATTTATACAAACTATAAACTAATAGAGAATTTAACATTCTTAATTCGTATTTTCGAATTCATCACATTGTGAAGAGTTTCATGACTATTATAATCTAACAATATTTATTTAATATAATATTTACAAACTTTCTGACATAAGGTTGACTAAAACAGTATTTCACTATTTTTATTAAAACTTTAATCAATTATGAACATATAAGTATATGAATTACTTTTTAGTTCATAAAACAAGGTATGCATAATATTTACTTTAATAGGGTGGCAATATCAAAAATTGAAATACAACTTAAATTATTAAATACATTAATGTCGCTTTGTTACTGAACAAGAATAATACCAATAGCAATTTTTATTAACAAAAATTACGTGGCTTTGTACAATTCTTAGTAATTATTTATCTAAAACTATCCACTAGAGTCTGGTAGTGAACACTCTTTGTAAACTGGCAATACCCGTGCTTAAATACCTCAGGCCTCGTTTGTCGGAAATGAGTCGCGCGCAATAGTCAGGCGACAGTGTTGCCACTATAACGAGGCAATTCAAGAACCCGAATGAAGGGGATGTCAACAGACGGGTGTACGTCCCTAGCACATCACCGTCGATTTGCCTGAAAGTTGAATGACTGAATGAATGAATGATTGAATACTTTATTGTCCACCACACATAAAAACATACACAAAATTAACAATAAAGAAACAAATCAATGGAATGCACAATCGTTTACAGTTACTATGTTTTCGGGGTTGTGTTAAATACTCACAAGTTAAACATCGAGTATGTCGTGTTGAACACAACGTAGCCGATGACGGACAGCAAAATCGACGCCACGAACACCAGCGTGTGGTATCGAGCCTGCAGCCAGAGTTTCAGGCTCACCACCAACATCATCAAGTGGAACAGCACGGCCCCGTAGCACCTGTAACGCCATCATCATCAGGAGCTGGCCAACGGACGAGAGACGTCCATGATCATCCGCAACAGTGTATAAATTGCACGCGACTCGATCTCGGAGGGAATATTTTAGTGAGCGGTTGCCAAAGCCCTCCTTACTAAGGACTAATTTGTTATATAAAAAATTATTATTACTGTCGCTTTTTCTATAATAATGATTATCAATCTAAATAACATAAACATTTATGTTATTGTTCCTTTTATTCCTTGTCTTTTTATTCCTTGTATTTATTTTATTTTTGATAGTACAAATTAACGCCCGGTTTCTGAAACACTTCATCGTAGAAGTCAACCAACCAGCTGTCAAATGGATTTTCAAATGATATTTGAGTTGCCAAAAGGATTTTTAAACTCTCAGAATAATCTTCTTAATGATTGACAGCTGGTTAGTTGACTTCCATTATGATTGAATGATGATTTCAGAAACCGGGCGTATGACAACTAAATGTGAAAACTTTTAAATGGCTTCTTAAGTGCTTTAAACCACTCAATTATCTTTGACAGCTATTAGCTGTAAGTTTTCAAAATAAAAGAAAAACAAGGTTCCTCACCATAGGTCCACCGTTTTGGCGTCTCTACTTATAACAGCCGTGTAGAACAGCAGCTTAGAGAAGCCGTAGATGACGACGGAATGGTATAAAGCAGTCAGGATCCACGCCACGAATTGCCACCAGGACATGAGCTTGTTCTTCCTGATCTCTCGGTATAGCGTTGGGTTCCTGAAACGAGAATGGTTTAAGATTTATTTATCATTATTTCCTTACCTTTTATATATTATTATTCTTAATAGTACAAAATATGCAAATGAATAAGTTTTGATTTACTAAATATTTAAATTATTAATACGTCGAGTAAATGTGTATCTATTACCTATATAGGAGAGAGCGATTTCGAATTTCGACCGATTTTCGAACGCTTTAGTATTAAAGTGAGCCCATATGAATGCCTTTTGGAACAAGACTACGCCCTAATAACCTTTGTACACCGGAGGTCTTTGCCTAGCAGTGTCTTCTATCTAATAAATCTTATATAATAAAGATTTATCGATGTCGTGCCGACTAGGTAGTCGACATCGTGCCAAGAACGCTAGCTGCATTTCCTCGCTGAATAGTACGTTATGTTTAAGAGCTATTTCAAATTTTGAACTCGAGCTCGAACTCTATCTGTAGATAGATTTGGTTACTAGCGATTGGTATATTATGTGATTAGCTCCAAAATAGTTCACGTCAAAATTATATCTCCAGTAACCAAATTGCGTATCAAAAAACAGCAATTGGAGTTTCAGATTATTACATAAGTAGTTAATTTAGGAGACTGAGATCTTAATAAAATATGTGTCAACGTAAAATGGCTCTATATAAATGTCAACAAATTATGTTTGATTAAAATTAATAATGATCTAACAAATTAATAACGAATAACGTTCGCTTTGTGAAACACTGATATATTTACACACTGGCTTATCAAATGTCATTTGAGTTGCCAAAAGGATGGTTATCATACGATATCATTCTGATCAATTCAAAGAATTTAACCACACTTTTGGCAACTCAAATGGCATTTGACAAGCCATTTGACCGCTGATTAGTTAATTTCTATGATAGATGATCAGTGTTTCAGACACCGGGCGTAAATGTTTTAACAGGAGAATGAGTCAATGAACTGAATGATTGAACGAATGATTCGCTAGCTACTTCATAAGTAGGTCTGCTGGGTAGCGCTGGTCGGTGACGGCGAGAACTAGGCACGGCACAGAGGTGAAGACCAGGTTGTAGCACGTCAGGTACATGGAGTCGAAGATGGACTGCGTCGAGAAGGCGGTGTGCACTTGGAAGAAGAGCTGGCAAGGATTTAGGAAACATCAAGATCAATTTATCATTACTAAGACTCCTTTGTTTGTCTGTCTGTCTGTCCGTCTGTTGCCAGGCTGTATCTCATGAACTGTGATAGTTAGACATTTGAAATTTTCACAGATGACGTATTTCAGTTGACGCTATACCAACAAATACTAAAAAACAGAATAAAAAAATTATTTAAGTGGGGCCTCCCATACAATAACTTGATTTTTTTGTGCGCGAGTCCGACTCGTACTTGGCCGGTTTTTTATTTTTATTTGAGAAGGCGGCAAGCGAGCTGGCACATCGCCTGATGGTAATAAATAAGCGCCGCTCAAGGGCATTTGCAACACCCGTACGGTTACAGATGCGTTGTCACCTTTTAATAAAGTAGTCCCCGGCTACCTCACTCACCAGACGAGACGCAGAACTATAATACTTCCACTTCACGCCGGTCTTCTGTGAGGTCGTGGTACTTCGCCTGGCGGACCTAACCGTTCGTGCTACAGCGTAGACTGTTCCCTGTGACTGGCACTACAATAGTTTCAAGTTTCCACACGAGTTGGCGGTTCACCTGATGTTAAGTGGCTGGGGACTTCTACAACACCTGACGGGTTGCAGATCCGTTAAAGTAAAACAAATGAAAAGCAAAAGAATAAATTTAATAGAAAAGTAAATTTTCCCCGGATGAGCCTGTCCATTCATGCAACAGTGGAAACTGCTGCGTGGCCATACCACACTAAATTATTACGTAAATTACTTAAATTATTACGACATAAACACGCATCAAACCCAGAAATTTTGGCAAATGTTACGAATTTTAACCTTCCAAATTCCTTGCGTACTACTTTTTACCTTTTGCACACTCGTATATCTACGACGCAAGCCTTTATCGACACACTCCCCAGCCCCTATATTATAACTACTGTTTTTTACACATTTTTTTCCCTTATGTACTTATTTTTTTTGGCGCTTTTATTCTTGTAATTTTCAAGTTTAAGTTTTATCAATAAGGCGACGGTTTAAATGTAAAGTAGATAAATCTCTATAAATTCTGCACGTACCATTAGATTCCCTAGCACTAGATTCTTGTAGAAGAAGTAATGTATCAGCGTAGCGAGCCGCTGGTAGTACCAGTGGCCCATCACCAGAAGCATCTTCTTCACCATAGAGAACTTAGTGAAGGCAAAGTCTGCCGACCTGAAAAGAAAACTCTTTATAAAGAAGACTGTTTAAATTTACGGAGTTGAACAAAGTAATAGGTCTTTTTTTAATTTTTATTTGAGGTTAACATACAATCATGTTGTATGTTGCGAATTATTATAATAATGTATAGAAGAATATTTCGAGTCTGCCTTGCTATCTTCCATATAAAAAAAATGTCGATACATGGCATTATCATACATATTATAAGAATTTTTTTAACATTTTTTACTTATGAAAACGTAATTCTTCTTATGTGGACATTTGTGACACTCGTAGGGCTTCCGGCAGCTTTGCAACCTTTTAATAAATTGGGCCCCGGCTACCCCACTCACCAGACGACTTAACGCCGGTCGGACCTGCCCATTAATGCAACAGCGGAAACTGTTGCGTGGCCCTACCACAGTTAAAAGCTACCGAGCTTATTTAGCCCATACGACTATGTCGACGGGGGCTAAAGAAGCTCGCTGGAACTGCTGGGTTAAAAGAAATCGCTTTTTAGCTATAAGGCCACCTATTGTACAGTTTTGTATTATTTTTTGTTGATTATTCAATACTAGTGACCCGCCCCGGCGTCGCACGGGTGCAGTGTATTGTACATATAAACCTTCTTCTTGAATTACTCTATCTAGTAAAAGAAACCGCATCAAGATCTGTTGCGCAGTTTTTAAGATCTAAGCGTACATAGGGACAGACAGAAGGCGGGATGACTTTGTTTTATACTATGTAGTGATCACTGTTGTTAGTGTACAATCCGTACATCCTTACTTAATATTATAAAGGCGAAAGTTTGTATGTATGGATGGATGTTCGTTACTCTTTCACGCAAATACTACAGAATGTATTTTAATGAAACTTTACAATAATATAGCTCATACATCATAATAACACATAGGCTATAATTTATATACATATCTTTATGTGTATCTATCTTTCTGTCTGAATGTTACGCCTTCAGCCCATTCTACGCAGACGTAGTCGCGGACGGCGGCTAGTGAAGTATATTCCGTTTCATTCGTTCGTTCAAGTCTCGCGAACTGACCTGGCCGCCTGGTGGCCCTCCTTGCCGAAGATGCCGAAGCCCACGTGCGCCTCCTGGATCATCGAGATGTCGTTGGCGCCGTCCCCGATGGCCGCGGTGATGGGCCGCTCGGGGCTGCCCTTGATCAGCTTCACTATCTACGGCGGACGGCAGAAATGCCCCTCACTTAGAAGAACGAAACGGCAACAGTGAGGAACTATTTCGATCCTCACTTTATGCCCCTGATTTGGAAAAACGAACAGCGAGAGTGAGGAACTATTTCGGTCCTCACTTTATGCCCCTCACTTAGAAGAACGAAACGGCAACAGTGGGGAATTGTTTTGATCCTCACTTTATGCCCCTGACTTGGAAGAACGAACAGCGAGAGTGAGGAACTATTTCGGTCCTCACTTTATGCCCCTCACTTAGAAGAACGAAACGGCAACAGTGGGGAATTGTTTTGATCCTCACTTTATGCCCCTGACTTGGAAGAACGAACAGCGAGAGTGAGGAACTATTTCGGTCCTCACTTTATGCCCCTCACTTAGAAGAACGAAACGGCAACAGTGGGGAATTGTTTTGATCCTCACTTTATGCCCCTGACTTGGAAGAACGAACAGGGAGAATGAGGAACTATTTCGGTCCTCACTTTATGCCCCTCACTAAGAAGAACGAAACGGCAACAGTGGGTAATTGTTTTGATCCTCACTTTATGCCCCTGACTTGGAAGAACGAACAGCGCGAATGAGGAACTATTTCGGTCCTCACTTTATGCCCCTCACTAAGAAGAACGAAACGGCAACAGTGGGGAATTGTTTTGATCCTCACTTTATGCCCCTGACTTGGAAGAACGAACAGCGAGAATGAGGAACTATTTCGGTCCTCACTTTATGCCCCTCACTAAGAAGAACGAAACGACAACAGTGGGTAATTGTTTTGATCCTCACTTTATGCCCCTGACTTGGAAGAACGAACAGCGCGAATGAGGAACTATTTCGGTCCTCACTTTATGCCCCTCACTAAGAAGAACGAAACGGCAACAGTGGGTAATTGTTTTGATCCTCACTTTATGCCCCTGATTTGGATGAACTAAGCAGCATAGTATCCAAATTGAGGTCGTTTTTCAATCCTCACTTTGTTTTCCTTTCAAGTCAACCTTCTTTTTCCACTTTATCTTGTGGTCGAATTAAAATCTATCTCTTAGCTTACATTCTTATTTTTCTACGATGAAGGGCAGAATTAATTATAATCAACGAGCGAAACAGCATAGTACGTTAAAAATACGCCTGACTTCAAGCAACAAGTTAACCATGAAATTAGCATAAGTGAGAAATTTTTTCAATCCTCAATTTGGTTTCCTTTCTCTTGTAATCTAATTAAAATCTATCTCTAAGCTTACTGAGAATTGAGTTGTCTTATATACTTACGTAGTAAATAATTACTATATAAGTAGTATAAAAATATAAACTAGACATGACTGTATATTAATCATTAGAACCATTTCATTTATTGTATCTAAGCCGCCAAAGCAAACAACCTCACTTAACCTGAACGAACTATAGAAAAGGGCTCACCTTCGCCTTCTGTATCGGCGAGAGTCTGCAGCACAGCACGGCGTCGCACTTCATGGACAGGTCCACGAATTGGGGCGCCGCCGGCGTGTCCAGGATGCCGGCCATGCTGGTCCCGTCGACGATCAGCGTGAGGTCCCTGTAGCTGGGCTCCGAGGCGGCGCGCCGGCACTCCTCGAAGTGGGCTTGCAGGGCCACGTCGTCCCGCACCCCGACTAGGAACATTCTCCTGTCGCTCTCCGATATATGGCTGCAGGACTGCGCCACGTTGATGGCCGTCTCCACCTGATGGAACGGAACGTGATGAGAGGCCAGCAGTTGTTGATGCCCCTGGAAATGGACAAGTTCACCGAAGTATCACAGCCTCACAGAAGGCAGATATATTATCGCGTTTTCGTTTTGTGCAGAGACGGTGGTAAGTGAGCGTTTCACGTGATGTTAAGTAATAACCGTCGCCCATGGACATTCGCAACACCCGTGGCATTGCAGTCAGTAACTTGTTCATTGGACGGTATATGCTTCTACAACAAAATCCCAGTTAATGTGCAAAGCCTATCTATTAACAGGTTTAAGAAATTTATTAAAGAAACTTTTTAAAAAGGGTTATTACAATATAAAAGAGTACATTAACGATAATAACCCCTGGAAATGAGATGATCGCTCCTAAGCTGTTTCTAAATAAAAAAAAATTGTACTGTATAATAATATTTTTTTTTTGAGAAAGAGAGTTTCTTTCGCCTGTTTCTTCTCCGTTAGAGGAACCTCATTACGAAACGGTGGTAGATTAAATAAATGACTATCGATAGATGAAATGTATATTTCTTATTTCGATGAATAAATGATTTGATTTTGATTTGATGCGTTGCCATCTTTTACTAAAGTGGGTCCCGGCTACCCACCAGATGAAACGCAGAAGCATAACACGTCCAGATCACTTCGATCTTCTGTGTGGTCGTCGTAATTCCCCGGACGGACCTGCCTAATCGTTCAACAGTGAAATGCTGCGTGGCCCGACCACTATTACTTTTATGTTATAATAGTAATCAAATAAAATCGATTAAATTGCCATTTCGCTTGCGACCTTATGCCGTAAAAGAAAAGCCTTCCTTAAACAGAAAAAAATATTTTTTTTTATGTTCTGTTTAAAATTAAATTTTTTTTCTGGTAAATAAATTTATTTTCTTTCTTTCTTTCTTTAATACTATTATTGCGCAACCAGGTACGGTTGCGCAATAATAGTATTAAAGAAAGTATAAAGTAAATTTGTATTTAAATAGTATGATTATGTACCTGCAATACATATTGATAAAACTTGCAGTAGAGTATGTACTCACTACTACGTGTATATACTCACCTTGTCGCCCGTCAGGACCCATGTCCTGATGCCGGCGCGGCGCAGCGACGCCAAAGTGTCCGCCACGTCGTCCTGCAAACAGTCCTCGACCGCCGTGGCGCCCACCAGCGTCAGCTGTTGCTCCAACACCTTGAACTGCTGCGTCACTTGCTGCAACGCTTCGGCGCTCCTGCCGTCTATCCTCTTGATGGCTGCGAATGGGCAATCCGCGTGAGTGGTTTCGAAGCAACTGTCTATAGCTACGAACAGACCGATGGCTCTCAGAATAGGACACATTTTTACAATGGGTTCTTGAAAACTGATAAACATACTTTTCTTTTGTATATAAATACATATTATAAATATGTAAACACCCAGACACTGGAAAAACACTATGTTTATCACACAATATTTTACCAGTAGTGGGGATCGAACTCACACCCTCCGGTGCAAGAGGCAGGGTGACTACCCACTACGCCAATCGGATTAAATCTATCTGATTGAAACTTAAATACAAAAAGACAAATACAGAAATTCTTCATCTAAAGTCTTTACAATTTTCTGTAAAGACTTTAGATGAAGAATTTCTGAGGGGCGTTGGGTATTCTTTTTTTTTTGCTAAAGTGGGCGGTGCACTAAAAAAGTTTAGGAAACGCTGAAATAGACAGTCGATGTAAGTCGTTTCAGAGTAAAGTTTTATCGGGCCTTGCTAAGCGATTACGTTTACCATCTAAACTAAATGCCTGTATACGATTAGATGGTGAAGTAAAAAAAAAGTTAAGTTATAAGTTACAACCTATGTAAGTCAATTGCTAGGCAAAGGCTTTTTCTGATATTTCGAATATATGTGAAGTCTGTCTCTGAAGGATTGACAGAATTCACATATACATATATTCGAAATATTTTTCTTTTCATCATTATTACGAAAACATACAGGTTTCCTCACGACGTTTCCCTTCATCAATTAGCCCTAAGAAAAATCAGTATAAAGATTTTATAAAATAATAAGCTAGAAGTTTCAAAACTTTTTACCAAACAGGCTATTACTATATTCAATGATAAAATTGATTCATTTAAATACTCAATCCCAATTCATTATTCCCAAGAATAAAGCTGTGAAAATAAAATCGAGCAGAGAGCAGGAGAAAGAAAAAGAAGATTCAAACCTAACTAATCGCCACGTGGTTATAACTGCATCTAATTGTAAAGAGAACGACATAGGGGACTTACATTCCGTTACCCTGTCATATTCCTCGTGCGGTATTTCCCTATACGCTACAGCCAAAGTCCTCAGGCCCTTGTTCGCGAACACGTTTATATCTCGATTCGTCTCCTCCACCATTACAGAGTCCTTGCATATCGGGAAAACGGAGCTCTCGGCGCCTTTGCAGAACAGCCAGATCTGAAAACGACGTTAAGCTTCCTCCTTAATTAAATCTATCTAATCTTGTCTAACGCTTCATCGTGTTTGCATCTAGTTGATTGCAATCCTTTTACCTTCCCGTCTTTGTCTTTGACGATGATGGACATTCGTTTTCTCTCCGACGTGAACTCGATGACTTGCAGACGCTCGTACATATGGGTGTGGTCACCGACCTTCAATATCAAATTGTTTCCCTCCTCGCCGAGGAACGTCACGCCCACTCTGTCGGCCGCTTCCACTAGAGCCTTCTCGTCAGGGCTGCTACCCTGGTAGTCCATCTTGCTGCCGTTCACGTTCAGGAGCGCGCTCCAGGTCAAGGTGTTCAGAACGCCATTGCTGTTAGGGCTCTCCGTGCTGCCATCGGTGCCGGCCCTGTTGAGTTTCTTCCTGCGGAAGAAGTTCCTCAGCTGCATATTGCCGGACAGGCGCGCGCTCAACTTCTTCATGTCCTCACTGGAGATTTGCACAGAGTGGCACAGAGCGAGGATCGTGAAGAAGAATTTGATGTCTGTCTGAAATAGAAGGTACGGTCAGACGTAGCTCAATGCGAACTATCACTTCATCATATCGAACCACATAGTTCGATGCGAAACATGTATCAATCACTTCATCAAATCGAATCACCTTGAGAAAATACACGACCTGCTTCCAATACTGTAAGTAAAATTCAATTAAAATTTCTTTAATAGGAATGAAGCTTCTTTAAAGAAGTGTAATTTATTATCCGGACATCACTGGATCTTCAAATCATAATATCATTTATGAAACAATAAAAGCATAAATCTCGTTCACAGAAACCAAAAGAAATAAAAGAGCACAATTATTTTGGACAGTTTCTACAAATCTTAATTCCCTTGTATTCTTTTTTATCACCTTATGGAATTCACCAATTTTTTGATATGCAACAGGATCGGCTGTTTCAAGCACGAGTAAGTTCGTACGGAGAAGTACAACGTTATTACAGAAGACCGGGAGTAGAAGTATTATTCTGTCACCATTCGTCTTCTGAGTAATGTATTCAGGACCCAGCCACATTTTGGTTAGGTTTTGTTGATATCCATGGGCGGCGATAACCACTCAACATCAGATGTACCCAATTTTTACCAATTTTTTTAAACCTGTAATCTATTTCCTGTTTTAGGGTTACTCACTTCTACATAGTCGCCGCTACTTTCATTCTGCGCACGTTTCAGTAAGTGTTGAAACAGTCATTGTTAATGAATTGATTAATTGTTCACGAAATACATTTCTTGTTTCGAAGAAAAACACTTTTTCATCAAACTACGTTTTTAATTGTTTCTTTATAAACATTTAATGATAACAAAAATCTCTAAAGTACGTGTGAAACAAAACAATGTATCAATTTCGACCAAAGATAAACTGTCGATTTCCTAACTGCAATCATAATTAAATTATTGCTTGAGATAACGGAGATACGGAGCTTGTTTCAATGAAACTGTTAATTCTCATAAACCAACTATTTCTTTACTAGACTGTCAATAAAATGGTAGTCTGATATATATAGTATATGAGCACTCACTGCGTTAAAACTTCACGAACGTCGAAATTAATGTTAATGTTAATGTTACATCGAACTGATTCAAGCTGGTAAAAAGAGTGACAAGTAGTGAGCTTGTCACCAAAAGGCTGGCACAAATCAAACAGACGAACATATTGATTCACAAGACGAGATTTTTTTAAGATAAAAGTTGGCAAGCAGGTGATTTACCTGATGCAGAGTGATTGCAACCGCACATCATAATCTACAATAAATGAGCAGATGTCTTGCCGATCTACAAAAAAATTGGACATCGGTTACCAGTCTCACCAGAATGGCGAAGGTATAGTACTACTAGTTCACATCTGACTTCCAATGAAAGGCCAGGTTGAGTAGGCCACGCAATAGTACGTACTTTTGCACAAATGAGCAGGTCTGTCTGGGAAAGCAACCACCATATAATTTAGCAAACGAACTGGCAGGTGAACCGCCAGCTCGTTTACCAACTTGTAAGAAGTTTTGCCTCTTTAGCGTAACAAAAGGAAAATAACTAAAAATTTTATCCCCTGTGCCAGTACTCTTAGTTTGTGAAAAATACATTAAATGCTACTGATAACGGTTAAAATATAGGTACCTTATTGTCAAAAGACAGTTAAATAAACTCATCATGTCGCTTATTGGGGTAGGTGCGCGTATCGTAAAAAAATTTACTCCTATATTTTTTTTAAAACGAGCGAAGAGAGGTATACCTCCAAAATAGAAACCGACCTGAAGCGGGACGTCAACGGGCTCGTCGAACCTCTCGATGTCGTAGAGGCGCGCGTCCTTCTCTTCGTAGACGTGGCCCTTGATCGAGCACGCTTTGAACACCATCAGGTTCTTCGTGAGCGTGCCCGTCTTGTCCGAGAAGAGCACCTCCACCTGGCCCAGCTCCTCGTTCAGGTCGGACGTGTTCGCCATGGCCGGCTGGCCGGTCTCCTCGCAGCGGAGCTCCTCATCCCAGCCGATGAACAGCGCGCCTGAAAGGGGGCGATGGTGCGAAGTGAGAGGGTGGCAAGCGAGCTTGCGGTTAGTGATAAGGCCACCGCATGTTCAGCAGATACGTGGCCGGCTTTTAATAAAGTGGCCGCGACGCGGTCTTCCGTGAGGCGGCGTCAGGAGCTCCTCATCTCAGCCGACGAATAACGCGCCTTAAAGAGGGTGATGGTGAATTTGGTTTTGTTTATTATAAGTGAATGGCAAGCGGGCTGGAGGATCACCTCATGGTAAGTGACAACTGCCACCGCATCTTCAGCAGATACATGGACAGCTTTTAATAAAGTGGTAAGCCAGCCCCGGTTACCTCACTTACCAGAAGAAACTCATAAGTATAACACTTCCACTTCACACCGGTTGTCGCTATACTTCCCCGAACGAGCCTGTCCATTCATGCAACAACAAAGACTTCTGGGTGACCCAGTTAAATTGATCAGAGGAATGACGAATGTGTTTCCTGAGGAGTGGTGAAACAATCAAGAGTCCTGTGCAATGCGTTCTACTAGTGAGGTACCTGTTAAAAGAAGGCAAAGCAGCTGCTAATGTTGCAGGCAGTTCAAACGGATAACCTCGTTTGTCAAATTATCTTGTAGTTAGTTTAGTTAGTTTAGTTCTCCGTAAAAAAATAGACTAAAGATCTACCCATCACCGACTTATATAACTAAATATGTACGACTTACCTATAAATTTATATAATTCTATGGTCACGTAGAGGGACATGGGTATGATGTAATAGTATAGCAGTAGGAAGGAGAACAGGTCTTGGAAGATGCTGGCCAAAGGCGCTGGGTACCTGGTACCAGGTCCCAAATACACGTCCCTCCCGGAGTTCCTTCCTTCGATGAGTATCTTGAACAGCAACGATATTGAAATCTCGAAAACTAGGATAAAGATGAACAGCCCTAGAAAACTGTTCACGGCCGATTCGCATGATGAGAACTTGTTCCCGGTGTACTTAGAATTGAGCGCCAATTTAGTCTCCTCTCCTAAAAAGAAACCGATATTGAAGTGAATCTTTTTCGTTCTCTACTATCCCTTCAAGGTGAGGTTGGCTCAGCATGTGAATATTTTTTTTAATAATAATGGCTAGGTTTTTGCGACTGGCCGACTGCCTCACAACACCCCACTTGGGAACAGACACCCAGAACTGAAGCAAGAATCTGTGGATCACACGAATTTGTCCCGTGTGGGAATCGAACCCAGAACCCCGGTGCCGAAGACAATGACTTAGCAACTGCCTCACCCGACTGAATGCAGCAATTCGTTATTGATCGTGATTAGCTCAATGCAGGCGTTATTAATATGTTATTAGATGTCATAGAATAAAGATGAAGCATGAATGCACAAGAAACAGATGAATTTAATAAAGGAATTTTTATCGTTAGAAAATATAAACAATGACAGCGTTGAAATCTTTTTATGATCCTCAAAATAAACATGCTTATCGAAAATATGTTATGACTGCCAAAAACGCGTGCCAAATATTAAAATTAAGCAATACCATTAAAAGTGTTCTTCTATAAATTCCATTGTTTTTTTAAAAGTAATGATTACATTTAATTGAATTTAGCTTATTGCATGCGGCTTACTACTTCACTAATACAGATAGCTTATTAGTGAGGGAGTCATTATAAAATCACCGTCATATAAAAATAATGTAAATAAATATGACCAACTACTGAAGTATATACTCGTAACAGTTTAAAATCAGGTCAATAAAAGATAGTCCAGATAAAATTGACATTATCTTTCCTTTAACAAAAAGTATGTCTGCAAAAACAATAGGTTGGCTTTATCTTTGTTTATCAAATTACATTATAATATTGTTTTTAAATTGTTCAATATTGAAAATTTCGTAAAAATAATAATTCGTATAAAAAGCATAAAAAAGGAAAATAGCAAAAATTTTACCCCTTTGAAAAAAAGATATTAATTTAAATAGCTTGGAATTAAAGGTTAATTTCAAAAAGTTGTTATTGGTTGCCATGGTAACACCATGAAGGTGTGAAAATTCACGTTCCCATCATTTTCCCCGAGCATAATGATGTATAACTAAAACAGATAATTCAGATTTCCAATAAGTGTTAAATTTAATTAAACGTTTTTTTTTGAAATCTGAAAACAAAGATGTATTAATTTACCCGTGTATACGGCGCATCCTATAGCCCATTCGGTGTTCTTGACTCTAGATCCTCTCAGCATGAGGTTGTCAGTGCTGAGTGCCAGGCTGTCCTGTCCTGGAATTTCCAGACGCCCGTAGAAAGTATACAAGTCCGCGACAGGATGAGGCACCTCTATTCGCATGCCTTGCGGTAGACTATCTAAAAAGTTTTGTATTCTTGAAGCCTGATCATCTCTTCCAGCAATGATTAACTGACAAAACACAGCTGGTAACTCGTGAAGTATATACAGCGTGTCGTTACCATCGCGACAATAAATGAACACACGTCTAACGCTACTTGCCAATAATCATAAAAAAATATTAACGTTAAACAAAATATATAATTAAAAAAAATATTTTTCAAACAAACTAATTAAGTAAAAAGGAAACAAAATTTGTAACATCCTATACAACTCGCGCCACAGCGTCGTATTACAAGCCTCTCCTTCTAACAGTATGTTTTGTCTCTTTTAAATTCATTCAACCCATTCATATGCTTTGTGACCTTGACAAATGAACTTTACGTTACGCTTTTATAGGTAAGGATGTTGTAAAATTCTTTGTTTTGGAAAATATTGATGTTTAAAGAATTTAAATGTTTAATACAACTTTAAAAAGTTTGCCCTATATGTGTGTTCATTTATTGTCGCGATGGTAACGACACGCTGTATAATATACTTCATGAGTTACAAGCAAGCGTAACGCAGATTTAGGTTTCGATAATTCATCCACTGCGATGTGTTTGAAAAAAGAAAATAAAAAATATTAAAAAAGTTAATAGGATCGCACCATTGCATTGAAGGAATAGAATTTCCATATTGCCATCTTTAAGTAAAATATTTGAAAAACTAATTTTAAATCAACTATTAGTACATTTTAATATGAACAAAATTTTTCACAATGAGCAATATGGACTCACTAAAGGCAGATCGACAACAGATGCGGGTGTTGCACTTGTCAAGCATATTTATAACGCCTGGGAAAGGTCACAAGATGCATAAGGTGTCTTTTGTGACCTTTCAAAAGCCTTCGACTGCGTAGGTCACAAAACCCTTCTTCGCAAGCTAGATTATTATGGCATTCGTGACAGCACCCTCAATCTCATCACCTCTTACCTTAGTAAAAGAATTCAAAAAGTATCTATCTCTATAAATGATCTTAATTCCGCAGGGTCCCCCGTGAAAATGGGTGCTCACAAGGATCAATCTTGAGCCCATTTTTATTTCTAGTATATATAAATATTCTCCTCTCTTATGCCAGTGAGTTTTGTGATGTTGTACTGTTTGCTGACGATACATCACTCATCTTTAAGGTTGACCGAAATTTATCAAATTATGACGACGTAAATGGTGCACTTTCGTATTAAATGCCAAAAAAACTAAATGTATACTTTTTACTCTTCCTAGTGTAAGAAGACAAAATTTTAGTTTATTATTAAATAACGTATCCCTCAATCCTGTTGAGTCTGCAGTTTTTTTGGGGATTACAGTTCAAAGCTTCAGTGGAGTCCCCATCTATCATCTCTTGCGAGTAGGCTAAGCTCCGCTGTTTTTGCGATTAGGAAGGTTAGACAGCTAACAGACATCGACACTGCCAGACTTGTTTACTTTAGTTATTTTCACAGCATCTTATCATACGGCATTTTGTTGTGTTGTGGGCTGATAAAAATTCTATATTAATTCTTCAAAAAAGAGCTGTCCGAGCAATCTATAATATCGGAGCCCGGAATACACTCAGAGAAATTTTTAAAGAGATTAATATACTCACTGTTGCGTCCCAATGTATTTATTGTAATATTTTGTGTTAACATTATGTGTAACATAATCCTAATTGTTATCTAAAGAATAGTGACAGACATAAATTAAATAAGGACAAATTAATTGTTTCGTCTACAAAAAGTAAATAGATCATTCATGGGGCGCATGTATAATAAAATCCCACAATCGGTATTAAGTCTGCCACTAGATGGATTTAAACGCAAAATTAAAAGTGAACTTATGGCTAAGGCATATTATATCATTGCGGAATATCTTGACGACGCCAAGGTGTGGGGTTAATACTGTTGATACTCACGTAGGCTAATATGACATACTTCTTCTATTATATTGTAAACTAATCGTTTTAAAAAAGAGCAACTGTTGAGTTTCTTGCCGGTTTCTTCTCAACAGAAACTGCTTTCCGAACCGGTGGTAACTTATTAACTTTTATGTAAAATTTTTGACATTTCATAAGAACGCGCAAGCGTCTATGTGAATAAATATTTTTTTTATTTTGATTTTGATTTTGATAGAAAATTAAAAGGAGCATTATTTCACGTCGTTCAATGAAGATTTAAATATAAAAAAAATAAAGATATTGGAATTTGAAACGGAAATTGCAAGTAGTGTTCATTATTCAGTTCATTTGATAATTCACACATTTGTGTAATTAAATTACAATAAAAAGCTGTAACTGAGACACGTTACATTAATAATCATAAAAAAGAAAACTTGATGAATGATGATAAAGTAAACAAGAAATAAAGTAACATTTCGTTTTCGAATTTTAATGTGTTTATCAGAGTTTAAGTGAAAGGCCACTCATATCAATCTCCAAAACACAATGGCTTGCAAATTCGTTGACAACCTTTAAAAATGTCATCCCCGGTTACCTCACTCACCAGACGATATGCAATATTTTAATACTTCCAATTCACTCCAGTATCCTGTGACGCAGTGGTACTTCCCCACTTGCAGACGCACTTGCAGATTCGTGCAATAGTTGCGTGTCCTGCCACAGTAAAAAAAAGTGAAAAAACCCATTTGTCACCTGGTGGGTAACCGACCAGCGGTGGCGGTACCCTGAGGGTCTTCAAGTTGGTCTCTCCGTCCAGATTGGCGGTGGTGACGAAGCACTTGCCGCTCTCGCCAGCCGAGCACAGCAGAACTATGTCTGCCGGCACCTCTTTGCCTCGTTTCACGCGCACCAAAGTGCCCGGCGCAATCCTCGAGTTGCGAACCTCTTTGACAACTCCGTTGTGAATCGTCTCCACTGCAGAAACAACATCTTCGAGTCATCAATCATTTAATATGTTGTGTCATTGTTGTTTTACGAGATTCTTTACGTTTTTTAGCTACAGAACAGTGCTAAAGCTATGTTACACGGAAGTCGTTGAGATAAGTAAGGAATAACCGGTCAAGTTAGTCGAACTCGTATGTCGAGGGTTCCGTACCTGCCCAATATACCGCAAAAAATGGTAAATAATCACCACCGATTTTCTCAGGAATGGGTGGACATAGCAAGTTGAAATTTATATCAGATACTGAGGTCTTTAGTCCCTATAAGGTCCTGAGTCAATGTATGTAGGTACCAAAATTTACCTTAATTTTCAACTTTACTTATACTTACAAGCCTAAGCTAAATTTGCCGATCGTGTAAACTCCGGACCTTGATTTTTATACATCTAATAGGCGTAATCTAATCTATAGACCTCAGTATCTGGTTGAATGATCAAGTCAATAAACGTTGAGCGGATTCATGAAATTATCGGGGCGTCAAATTAGTTTATCCACATGTTGGGAGTAAGTTACTAAGACTCCGCTGTCTGTCTCTCTGTCCGTCTGTCACCAGGCTGTATCTCATGAACCGTTATAGTTAGAGTTGAAAGTCTGGTGAAGTCTGTTGGCGCTTTAACTATAAATACAAAAAATATTAAAACTTTCGTGAGACATTATCAACGTAATAATAAGACGGCTGAGCTCACGTAAAACGTGTATGTACCCCACTCACCCTGTGGGGACCTCCGATGAGTCCTAAACTAGTCGGTACATACACCAGGTTTACGTGAGTTCAGCCATCTTATTATTACGTCAATAAAAAAAACATATTTAAGTGGGGCTTCCATACGACAGACATGATTTTTTCTGCCGTTTGTGCAGATAATGGCACGGTACCCTTCTTGTGCCAGTCAGACTCGCACGTGGCCGGTTGTATTTCTATAATTCCACCTTCGCCCGCATAAATCCTGATGATTAGTCCGTAATTACAACGTTGATCGACGATAATTTGATTGATAAATTATAATTCGCACATTTCCAAGACTTCATTCATGTGTTCGCCATAAAATCTATCTATTTATAGAAACTGTTTTCAACTTAAGCTTATTTTACAAGCTATCAAGTCACGTGAAAGATTTCATTAAAAATATCGTCGCAAATCGATAAGATTCGGATTATGTCAGTTACAGATTTCGAGTGTTCAGTAATACTTATTCGGGTTTTTTTTCTCTTTATCGTCTGCTTTGTGACTAAACACTTGCACGTTACCGATACAGTTCATATTAGTCACACGTTATTTCGACGACATCCTTTAAGGGGTCATTGAAATATAATTTTGATCGCATTACGATTTTGTTGTTTATGATGATACGATTTATTAGGGAAGCGTTCTGTAGTAGGGCCACGCGGCAGCTTTTGGTGTTGCATAAATGGTCTGGCTCATATAGGGATGTACCACGGCCTCACAGAAGACCGGCGAAGTGCATTATACTTTCGCGTTTCGTGTGGTGAATGATGGGGCCAAATTTTTATGCTGGCAACGCATCTCATACCCGTTAGGTCTTGTAGATGTCCATGGGCGGCGGTAATCACTTAACGTCAGGTGAACCGCCCCGTTTAGCCACGTTTAACATTAAAAATAGTAAGCAGCGTTTGATGTTACCTTGTTCTCATTGCGTAAGAATTGAGTTTATTAATTTCGCGGAAGTTATTGCTTTCAATTAACAAAAAAGGTCTAATTATATGACATTATAGAAAAGTTTAATATCAAGGTGAAAATTAATAATTAAAATTAAGCTAACATCACGATTCGGTTTTTATTCTAAAAGGTGGTGGTATAAACAGTGAATTGGTTCGTGCGATGGTATGGTACTGTGGAATATGGGTGCCCAACAAGATTTACGATTAACATTCTATTTCTACAACACATTCAAATCTGGAGAGAGAGAGAGGAGATCTAGTCTCTGCAGGTGAACTTAAAAGGTCTGTTAAATTAAACGTCTCAAAATATTTCTTTATATACGAAAATAGTAAAACAAGACTTTCATTTATCTGCCGCGATTCGTCCAGTTTTTAGCGGACGATAACCGTTAAGAAAGCTAATCTTATCTTCAACTGGGTGTTAGATTTGAAAATGCTGATAGCCGAGACCTTGTCTTGTAATGTGGAGACGTTAAAACTGTCAGTAACACACCCAAAGATGGAACGGCAAATTGACAAAAATCCGTCAGGAATGCCATACATCGAACGTATTCATACTCTGTTTTTTTTTAACTTCTGAGCTATTTGGCTATTACTCTGTGGTGGAGTCACGCAGCGTCTGTTATCACAAGACCTGTGTACACAGCAGTACCTTACCAGTGCATGATGGTTTACAACGTTGAGTTATATTTAAAAGACTGATAGAATTGTACCAATATTAAATTCGCTTCCATACAACTAGCCTTCAATTAATACCCTTTAGAAATATTCCACGAAAGTAATGATTTCCGAACGAACTAAATGAGATCAAGGTAAAATAAAATCTTAAATTTGTAATTCTATTGTGGTACTTTCCACCTACGATTCACTACATAGTATAAAACAAACTCGTCCCGCTGTCTCTCCGTCCCTATGTATACTTAGATCTTTAAAACTACACAACGGAACTTAATGCGGTTCTTTTACTAGATTCAAGATTGATTTCAAGGGTAATTCAAGAGGAAGGTATATATATAATACATTACACCCGTGTGAATCCTGGGCAGCAACCCGCCGTATTTTATATACGTACATATTAAGGGAATGACGTAAGAATACGGATGAAAATATATTTTTTAAATTATAAATCAGATATCGATTTAAAGGCGTTTCATGAGTGGAAATTTTTCACTTTTAATAATAAAAGGACACACGAATAAATGTATTAATATTGCATATAAAATTAATTCTATGACGATGAATGAATACTTCATTTTAATTACATACTACTCATAAGAACCATCATGTGGCGAACCTCGGAAATTATTAAATAGTATTGATTACTCGTTCAATGTATGCGTGAGAATTGGTTCATGAATAATTTAAAAGCAGCTTGTAAACTATTTTTTCTTTTACTGTTAGCAATTTTTTATTATAATAGACATAAAAATTACAGACCAAAAAAACCTAAATGAAACCTATCATCAAACATAAAAACTTCTCTATGTTAAAATACAAGTACTCCAATTTTCATGGCGATTGGTCAAATCTTTATGTATATTCATAGATTATAAACATATGTACAACAATAAGAACAATTTCCAGATTCATATATGCAGGTTAAAGATGAAACAGAAAGGACAAAAAAATTATAAATGTTATGTGTTATAAAAAGAAGCACATGAGCAATACAAACATATATTGCTTTTAAAATAGAAGATAGAATAGGAAAAAATATTACATAATGTAATAAAAATGTTCTGATATTAAAATAGCATACATGTGTAATTCTCACAAATAGATTATTCAATAGTCTTGAATGGAATATATTTTGTAATCATAATAAAAATCTATTTGTAATCATTGTTCCACTGAACACATTGATTTAAAAGTAACAGCCTGTACATGTCCCACTGCTGGGCAAAGGCCTCCTCTATACAGAGGGTATCAGGGCATAGTCCACCACGCGGCCCCACTGCGGATTGGCGGACTTCATATATCTTCGAAATTTTTTTTTTGTTATTATTTCGAAAATATGCAGGTTTCCTCACGATGTTTTCCTTCACCGCGGAGCACGTGATAAGTCAGCACTTAAAGTTAAAAACTTCATTGGTGCCGGCACCGGGGATCGAACTCAGGTTGCTCGAGTATATTGAATTAAAGGCGAGCGCCCGGACACTGAGCTATCACAGCTAACACGAACACATTGATTTAATCAAACATTTATTTTTTATAAATATCGCTTTGTGTACATTCCCTCGGGACTCTTAAATGATTCTGATTACTGATGAAATATTAAAGCAATGTAGATAAGCTCAGTGGGTGGTCTGGTGCAGTTTGGTAGCGATCAGGTCAACAGGTTTGTTTGAATAATTAATGTTACCCACTAATATAATAATGATTCATCTCGAAATATAATGACTTGACTGCCAGCGTTATTATTAAGATATTACTTAAATTAAAAGATAAAAATATTATCTATGTTGTTCCAGGACCTCGAGCAGCTCATTTGTTATTAACACCTAGGAATGCGAGTATAAGGAAATAAAAATATTTATTACAGCACGCATTTAACGGACGATCTAAGTGAGGTAACCACATATGCATGGAATTTTATCACTGATGCTGTTATTGTTAATTTCGATGATTCGTGCTAATGTATTGTGATTTCTTTCCAGATATACAGGGTGGCTTTTCTAAGTGTATCCATTTTTTTTATTAAATTCTAGACATAAATAATGTTATATAAAAATGATAAATATTTAAAATCACTCATAAGTAATTAATTACATTCATTTGAACTTTTCTTAAAAAGTGCATAATTTATACGCAACTCATTTATTTTACGCGCGATTGTTCATAACTAACACGCACAAAAGTTCGTGCACAGTAAAATTTTGGTATTTATGAGTGACTACCACATTGTCAACATGTTCGGTTTTTAAGGAAATCGAATGGTATTTTTTTTTTTTGGAAAAAAAACTTTGTTTTTTAATTCAATAAACGATTATACTACCGAGTCTGAACCTCCTGTGTAAATTTGGGCACTTCTCAAAAAATCTCCCTGTATATCACAGGTTTGGTTAAACGCAGATGTGTGGGTAAAAGAGTAGCTAAGGTCAAGCTTGCATGTCTTTACCTCCGTCTAGGACCCTCTCAGGGGGCCCCTTTAAGTTACCCTACACATTTACGTAGCTTTAGAAAATCTGGTAACGTAATCTTTCATCTTCGCGTATGAGAACGCATCGAACGAATCACACATTTCCAAACGAATAACACACACGACGGACGTCGATGTCATGATCCGCATGTTCCTTGATGACCCATATTTAGAAGGATGAAGCTCGTAAGTCGTTTCACAAGCTCTGCGCGAAGCTTTATATAATTTAAGATAGACAATTCGTTCATTCCAGCGCCGAGTTTTTCACGGAAACAAATTGGCAACATTGCCATCACAATCTTCCTGTGTCCGTCTTTCCGTGCATTGACCACCAACGACTGCATTACCATTTATCATCAGGGTCATTCCATAAGAGTGTTTTTTTTTTTTCGAAGTCGAGAACGTGACGCGGTCTTCGGTAATCGCGGCGAAAAATATTTAGCGGCAAGGGGCTGTAGGTGACTGCACCTACGATAAGTGGGTTGGGATGCGCGGCGGCGGAATCGAAATATCGGCGCGACGCCGACTTCAGGAATTGCGCGATGGTGGGCAATTCTAGATCGACATGTAGGTCGATATTGCGCATGAACCAGGGTGCTGCCGTGGCTCTGCGCAAGAATCGATTTTGAATCACCTGAAGCCGGTGTATTTGCTTCGGAGCAATGTGAGCGAAGACGGGGCTCGCGTACGTCATGATAGGGCGAACTACTGCCTTATATAAGGTCACCTTGTTCCGAAGGGACATTTTTGACGTTTTATTGAGGAGCGGGTAGAGGCGACCGAGTACGAAGGCCGCCCGGTTCCTGACCTGGGTCACGTGCTGGGTGAATTTAAGCTGGGAGTGGAGGACGACGCCTAGATATTTGACTTTATTAACCCATGGTACTCGGCTGTCCAAGAGTTTAACTGGGGGTGGTATGGGTATGTTCTTTTTGTGCGCGAAAAGGACGGCCGCGCTTTTGGCGGAATTGATCTCGATCGATTCGTTAGGAAGTCTCGTATTATGCATACGAGACGGTAAGGCACTCCGTACCCGTATAGCTTGTATACGAGCCCGTTGTGCCAGACTTTGTCGAACGCTTTTGCCACGTCCAGGAAGAGTGCACCGGTGTTGAGTCCACGTTGGCGTTTGGTTAAAATGTGCTCCGTGATGCGGTGCACTTGGTGGGTACACGAGTGTTTGGCTCTGAATCCAAACTGCTCTGGGATGGGGAGCCCTTTGGTGTCCATAAGGGATCTTAAGCGGGCTAATATTAGTCTTTCAAAGATCTTCCCAAATGTTTTGAGAAGACTTATTGGACGATATGAGGTTGGGAGAGTGGCGGGTTTAGAGGGTTTGAGGAACCCTATGACATCGGCTTCCTTCCACTCGGATGGGAAGAAGCCTTCGGTTAAGGCCGCGTTGTAAATTAATACTAGTATCTGAAGGATGCTAGTAGGGAGGAGCTTGGTCACCTTATTGGTGATTCCATCTGAGCCTGGTGCTTTACGGGGGCGTAGTTTTTTAATGGTCTCTACTAGTTCTAGGCACGTGACCGGGGGGGGGAACGGGATCGCGGAGTGGCTCTAAAGCTTTCCTTTCTACCTCTTCATTCACCTTGCGGAGGTGTTCGGGGTCGATCGGAAGCAGACTGGGGGAGCATTGAGACTCTAGGCTGTCAGCCAGGCATTCGGCCTTCTCTTCGTCCAGCATTGCTGGCATACCTATCGGACGGACTAGTGGCGGCATGGTTGTTATGCTGTTACCCTTGAGGGATTTGGGAAGTTTCCAGAAAGCTACGTGGGATGGTTTTACTGAAGTTAGGGTGGAGTCCCATCGTTCGTTTCGTGAGTCTACTATGCGTGTTTTGACCTCACGCTGCAATTTACGTAGCAGTCTACGATTCGAGTCGGTGGGATATCTATCATAGGCTCGAGTGGCTGCATTCTTGCGTCTCAGCAAGTCTCGCACATCGTCTGGCAGGGCCCAGCGATGGTCTTCCATCGCCGGTACCTGTCTCGAGCATTGCTCGACGACAGTGTTGACGTGGCTTGTGAGGGCTCGAATTGCGGTTTCCGTGTCCTGTTTGGTATTTAATTCTCTAGGGATTGACTCTAGTTGTGGAGGATTAGGTTCGTTAAATTTAGATTTGATTTTATGCCAGCTGATGACAGTTTTGGTTAGGGGAGCGGCTGTTGCTGAAGGCCCTAGTCGGAGGAGAACTGGTCGGTGATCGGAGTGAAGCTCGTGTATCACTTCCGGTTCGCATAAGGAGAGACTGATGTTTTTGACGAGTGCAATGTCAAGCACATCCGATGTGTGTCCCTCTACGTATGGAAAGCGCGTATGTTCGACGGGGGCAACGACTTCAAAGTCGAGCCTGTCGGATAGCGAGTCGAGTGCGGTGCCTCGGCTGTTGGTACGTGTCGAGTTCCATCGGGTGTGCTTGCTGTTGAAGTCGCCAGCTAGGATGGTGGCTCCTCCTATAGAGAAGAGGGCCTCAAAATCTGATTGCAATATTAATGCGGTTGGTCTACAAGGGAGGTAAACTGATGCTATGGTAATAGGAGAGTGGCCGGTTAAAGCCAGCTGACAGACGGAGGCCTCGAGATGCGTGAGCGCGGGCGTGTCTACCGGTACGCAATGGAGAGATTTTTTATAGTAAATAAGTGTGCCGCCGCCCGGGGCGCCGACACGATCGTTCGTAACTATTCGATAGTTGGGGATGTTCGGATCCCTTGTCGCGGGTTTCAGGAGCGTCTCCTGAATAAGAAGTATATCGATTTGGTGGTCGCGTAAGAAAATACGTATTTCGTCGCGCTGTTCTTTTAACCCGTTCGCGTTGTAGAAGGCTACGTTAATCGATCGCGGTTTAGCTCTGCCGTTATTACGCGTAGCAGAGGGACTGACATTTCCATAAGAGTGTGTAAATGTCAAACGTCCCTAAAACACACCACCTCAACTCGCGGGTGGTGAAAAGCGGTTTTAGAAAAACTTGGACAATGTTCATATTTGATACACGTTTGATTTTGGACTCACCGATTTGATTGTTCACTTTGTTGTCAGCCTTGTGCCGAAGCCAGTCCTCGTAGCCCTGCTTAACAGCCGTCACCAGCACCATGAAGCTCAGCGGGGCGATACTTGTAAACGGTGAAACCGGGCTGTCTGTTGAACATAAGATGGTAGAGCTACGCAGCAGATTCTTTGCATATTATGTTACTTTTTTCTTCTACCGTCCTATATAGCCAGTTTGTTTCGAGTATCGGAGGCTTTACGCTCCGGGCGTTGGAATGTTCTTTTTTGCAATCATGTAATGACAGAAGCGCTCTTTTTGCTTTTCAGGCAACGCATTTGAACCCAACAGGCGTTGAAGATGTCCATTAACGACGATAATCATCTTATATTAGGTGACGATCCCATATCATATGCTTTAAAACTATTTAAACAAAATAAAGTTAAATAAAAATAACCTCGACAAAAGGCTTTCGTAGACTTCTTATTCTAAATCAAAAGTACCACCATTATACGCGGAAGTGAGACGATTAGGTGTTTGTTTTCCAAAATTACTTTTAAGATATGTTAGGCATGTAAGATATTGGGATCAATATTTTTGCGATTAGCAATTTTTTAGGGAAAGCTGAGTTTAGTATTTCTTCTTCGCTTCCTTATGCTGAGTTTCGTGACAATATACGATAAGTCTCTACTGGGTACGGTCTTATGCTCTTACATACAACCACATGATGCATTCTGTCATTTACCACCTTAATTGTGTAAGGCCATCTTTCAGGTGTGTTATCTGAGTTCGACTGTAATCCAAGTGGACTAAATTATATCTATCTATTTATTTATTTTATTTATTTATTTGTCAGAATAAGGTAATACATAATGGTGTTAAATCTAATACAGGAGTTCACTTATTCTGCCTCTTTTATAGGCGTACAAATATTAAATCGTTTTAATTCAATTTCGACATCAAATTTTAATACAAAACTATAAAACGTAATTATGGATAAATGTGGATAAATGTTATACAAATTGTCATAAATATGTCGAAGAGAAAATCAATAATAATACATGTCAGCATCAAATTGCTATATATTTCACCTATATTTACTATTACAATTAATTAAATTATAATTTTACAAACAAAATTAGTTATTGAAATATTCAGAAAGACTATAAAAACATTTGCAGAGAAGACATTCTATCAACTTTCGTTTAAACGTTTGACTTGTTTCATTCTTTATTATGTCTAGTAGACCATAATTTCTTTTCGATCATATCATGTGTCCGAAGAAGCTAAGGGAATTTATTATCTGCACAATACAGCGGCAAATGCATCGTAAGTCATTAATTTTCATACCATTTTTAAAGAAGCAAATAACTGCATAGATCTAGCAGTAATCGGCGTCGACACCTGAGCTTGTTCACACACTATTTACATGCATAATGACCACAACCAACATTGTAAGCTCTCCGTTGCGAATTAAAGGCCGTTACATCACTGACACGTTGAATAAGTGATGAATCCACAGCTAAACAAGTCAATTTTTTTATTAAGTAAAAACAAAGCCAACTTCAAATATCTCGCTCTGTATTCATTTTATAATTGATTTTCAGGAGTTCCCTAAATATCTCCGGAGCTCAAGATCCAATAACAATGAAATTAATATTGGACTACATGGGAAGCACCAGCTTCTAAAGTTCTATGGTAACAAAAAAAAATACAGTCGAATTGAAAACCTCCTCCTTTTTACGTCCTTTTAAAGCGTGCGCAAATCATTCGTGTATCACAAGAAAATTCAACAGCATAATAAATTAAGAAAATCCGTTGTCTGTTTTACATTACGCTTTGTGACCCACAAGTCCCCTTTTTTTGTGTGAAGGTGGTAAGCGAGCCGGCGGTTCATCTGATGTTAAGCGATAACTCATGGACATCTGCTACACCCCCGTAGGTAGGGGTTATAGATGCGATGCACCTTTTAATAAGGTGGACGCTTTTTTTTAATATTAGTTTCAAAAATTTGGAATGAGCAAGTTTGAAGATTATAAACAGTACAGATCAAAATATTTTGTAACATATAAAACAGTATCTTTTATATGTTACAAAATATTTTGATCAATTTAGTTACTAACTGTAAAACAATAAAGTCGAATGTTTTGTGTATCAAACAACGAGTATAGTGTGGCTGTTTCACGATATATAAAAAAAACCAAACACTTGGGATAGTGGAAGAAGACTGACCTATGATGACGGCTATCACAGTCACAATCAAGAAGTAGAAGTTGACGACCCGTCGGAACTGTTCCATCAGATTCTTCGGTAGGAACATGAGCAGCGTGTACTTGGACGTCTTGATCTTGTTGTGCTTCTTCTTGCTGCCCTCGCCCACCAGCCCCACCTCGATCAGACGCGTCTCCGATACCGCTGATACCTTGTTGGACTGTTGCAAGCAAAAAAAATATTATAGGTTAAATAATCTTTTTGGTTAAATCATCTAATCTCTGCGTGATAGTGTTCGTAACGAAGACATCCGCAGTATAACCAAGGTAACCGACATAGCTCAGAGGATTAGCAAGCTGAAGTCAGGATGGGCCAGTCATATAGCTCGTAGAACCGATAACCGTTGGGGAAGAAAGGTTCTCGAGTGGCAGCCTCGTACTGGCCATCGCACTGTAGGACGACCCCCAATAGATGGAGTGACAACCTGTGCAAATGTGCGGGAAGTCGATGGATGCAGGTGGCTCAGGATCGTACTTCGTGGCAGCCTATGGGGGAAGCCTATATAATGATGATGATAAATCTTTTTGGGCTGACCGAGTTTCACTTTATCTTTGATTGCCGTTGAGTTGCTATCATCAAGTTATTTTTTTTATATATAATTTAATGCAGCATGATGAGTGGTGGCATATTAAGTACTGTTGAGAGGGTACTTGACAAGACAATTTGACTGAGAAGTTATGAGCAAGCAGACAATATATATTGGGACTATCCATGGTAGATTTTTTTTATTAAAACAATATGTTAAGATAAAATAATGTATCAGTCTGTTATTTGATTGTCGATTGTCTAGCCCTAATTAAAGCGTCCATACAGTAATTATGGTATATCAAAATAATTCTGATTTATACAGAATTTTTAACTCTCATTTCACCACAACGAGACAAGGTGGAAATAGAAAAGCATGTCTATTTTTCTACCTTACATTGTATTTATGTTTTATCGGTTGGCTAGATAAGATAGGAATTCTTTCAAAGAATCTTCATAAAAGACTTCCTAAAGAATTCCTTAATCGCATCAATATGCAAACTATATTCATAAGTATCCAATATTTTTATCAAAAAATTAATAATAAATTACTTTTTTTTTTAATTGAAGACGTTTAGACGTTTAGACATTATCTGATAGGAGAAATAGTCGTAATCCTTTCCATATATATGCCCGATAAGAATCAGCTAACACTGAATTTTATTATATCCGAAAGATATATTTTGTTTATAACTTTGGCTTCTTTTAACAGTAGATTCATTCATAAATGTTACAATAACCCTACGAGTGATAAAACTTCCTTAGAGTTCTGGCAATACGGCAAAATAATGGATCTTGCCCAATGATTACGGTGGTAGGGCCACGCAGCAGTCTCGGCTGTTGCACGAATGGGCAGGCCCGTCCGGGTAAGTACCACGACCTCACAGAAGGCCAGCGTAAAGTTCCGTGAAAACCGAAGTTCGTCTGGTGAGTGAGGAAGCCGTAGCCCAATTTTCAAAAGGTTGTCAACGCATCTGTAACCCTTGGGTGTAGCAGATGTCCATGGACGGCGGTATTCACTTACCATCAGGTGAACCGTCTGCTCGTTTGGCAACTTTTCACGTATAAAAATAAAATGATATTATACATACATACGAGGATATGAGTCTAGAGCACTGATACTGAGGCACTAAAATTACGCCAATTGGTGTAATTAGATTGCAATTCCATAGACTGCTGTCTCTTTCCGTATCGTGTGTATAACCATGTCATGTAATGTAAAGCGGGACAATTGAAACGTCGAGAAAAAACTTGCCAATCTATTCTTTAAAAAACAGAACTTGTTCACAACGCGGTAGTCATTCATAAATGCGTCGTATACTTTTGATACGAACTTGTGTGCGTGTTAGTTATGGATGATCGCGCGTAAAATAAATGAGTTGCCCATAAATCACGCACTTTTTGAGATAAATTAAAACGAATGTAATTAATTAATTACGAGTGATTTTAATATTTATCATTTTTTATATAACATTATTTATGTCTAGAATTTAATAAAAAAAATGGATACACTTAGAAAAGTTTCCCTGTATATATAAAAATGAATTGCTGTTCGTTAGTCTCACTAAAACTCGAGAACGGCTGGACCGATTTGGCTCACTTAGGTTTTGAAATATTTGTGTTAGTCCAGGGAAGGCTTAAACAACATTAACGAAATAGCAACAATTTTATTTTCCCGTACAAACTGTTCCTACCTGACAAATGTTTTATGCGTGCGTTCCGAATTCTTTTTCTATGTGTTCTTTGAAGCTTTACGAACGTGTAAATCTCAAAAGGCTCGAAGACCATGTACAGAGTATAGGGTCTTAAGTCACTATTGATCTTCAAAGCGACGCTGATTAAATCGGTGAGTGGTTAGGCAAACGTCCACCCTGAGATGAGTGTAGCAAAACTTTTAATTCAGGCCATAGCCAACTGCCACCTCTCTATGTTCCGATCTCGCCCGAGCAAGAGCCAGAAAAACTCACACTGCCTTACTGGCAAATTCCTTGGCAAAAGAAGCTCAAGTACCTAGAAGTCACTTCCGAATAATATTCATTACACATATTAAAACCATAATAGACAGAGCCGCGTTCGTTTCAGGCCGTCTCTATAATTTAGTTAAATTATGTTTAGTTAGGTTATATAGTGGTTAGTTAACCCCTACAATGAAATGGTCTTAAAGTACGAAATGTTTTCACACAAGGCCTTACGTACGAGCCTTAATGTCCTACGCTTCCTGTCATTATGTTCTTTTCTCACAAACCTTCATAAACTTCAGGTGGTACAAAATAAGTTCAGCAGCCCCGCAAACGGCGTTAGGTACGCTGATACCAGCGTATCGTTCACCTGAATAGCGATTGCAGACCCCCGATACGCGAATACTCAAAAGATTTACTCGAACAGTTTATCGTAACAGCCCAACCGTTTAGTGGAAACGCATCGAATTAACATATCAAGACATCAACGCGACCGTTTACAAATGTCGTCCGCTCAACGTCCTATCGAACCGGTCGAGGAAGGGGTCATAGGAGCGAGGACTATAACATCATACTCACCTGAGGTCCCGCTAGACAACACTATACCAATAGATAGTGCTAAAAGGGTATCAAATGATAATGAGACAAAACTCACAGACGGTGGTGTGATTTTCTTTTTTTTATGTGAAAAGTGGCAAACAGGTTCACCTGTTCCGTAGCCCTACCACAGTTAGAACTTTACATATTAATAGAACTTTACATCCATTTGATTTTCAGTCAAAATAAATACGCAATAGGTAAAAGTAGATCAAACAGGAAACGCACAGTTCTGAGGCGCACAACGCAGACAACTATTATGGCTCCAAATGTATAATTTCGTAAGTACATAACCAAACTAGACAATGACAGTATACATAAAAGACTATTAAAAACTTACCTTATAAAAATAAAGCGTGTGAATTTATGTAAAGGGAGTTGTGATATGAAGGACCTACGAGTGAATTGTCTATCGATAAGTTTTATAAGCGTCACATACTTAATGTGGGAAAATGACAAGCATGACAGGCACGTTGTGATACCTGTAGAATTTTTATTACCGAACTATCTGTAATGAGAATTGTTAATTATTTTCATAAAAGACTGTCCGGAGTTTGTAACGATACTAGTTTATCATTTGTTCCAACAAATAAGTGACTCCGTAATGGCTCTGTGGCACATTTGCCAAGTTATTGGCTTCGGCGTCGGGGGTTGCGGGTTCTATTCCCACACGGGACAACTGTTTGTGTGACCCGCAGATAGTTGTTTCGCATCTGGGTGTTTGTCCACGTGAAATGTATGTTTGTAAAACGTCCTTACAACACAGGATAATATTATCCTAAAGTAAGGGCAATGTTTTTAAATAAAAAAAAAATAAAAAAAAAGTATTTCCTTATTTTATGCGAGCTATCCCCCGTCCTGGGTCATACCAACTTCTTTAAGTCAAAAAAATATAGATTCAGGATAAGCAATCGCCAACATTTATCATATACTTAAACCTTCCGAAACACGTAAATAGGATTTTGAAATTTGTGCTTTTAACTAGTAATTAATATCGAAGAAGTATTATTTTATATTTTTAAATTTTTATATCTGTAATGATAATTATTATTTTTAACATAATAGATACTCTCTATAATTTGGAACGAGACTAGTTTATCATGTATGTAGTTCCTTATTATTTTACTTAAACTTGACTGTAGTTTTAATTGAAGTTTTGAAATTTGTGCTTTCAATAAAAATATAAGTAATTAATACTGAAGAACTTTTATGCTGTAACATTAAATGCCGAAGTATCTGATACCGGTTGTTTTTTAATAAAAGTTTTCGTTACTTACATAAAATTTATATTATTCTATATTCTTCTTCTTTCACCTGTACATCTTTGGCCAACTGGCTTAGGTATAGTCGGCTAAAGATAGAAGAAATTAACATCTAGGCTAGGGCTCCGTACCATTATATATGAAAATGGCAAAAAAATCATGTCTGTTGTATGGGAGTCCCACTTAAACATTTCTTTATTCTGTTTGTTAGCATTTTTTGTTATAGCGGCAACAGAAATACATGAAATCTAAAAATTTCAACCGTTGATAATTAATCAATTCATACCGACATACCGACAAACAGACAGACAAACAGACAGCGGAGTCTTAGTTATAGGGTCCCGTTTTACCCTTTGGGTACGCCACCCTAAAAACTGATAACATGCTATTGATCAGCCAGAAAAAGTAACGACGACTTCCAGCCTCCCAAACAAGCCGTATTCCGAAAAGTCTTTAGTACCATAGACCACATACACATTCTGCGGCAGATAATGCAGAATAAAAAATAAAAACAATAAAAATAAAATAGATGTTTATTCGCTTCAGTTTTTTTTTTCTACAATTTAAGTGTCGACTTCATCTATTAGGTACAGAAGCACCTGTGCCAGAGGGAGTCACTCTTCCTTAACAAAAATGTTATAACTAAAGAAACACCTTATTTAATTTATACAACATATTAAAACAAAACAAAAAAGGCAGTGTGTGTGCGTGCGCGCGCGCGCGCGCGCGTGTGTGTGTGTATGCGTGTGTGCGTGTGCGTGTGTGTGCAGAAGACCGAAGAGTCTTTATGTCTTGCGTATGAGGACTACGAGGAGGCC